ATTAGTCGTGCAAAAAGGTATGGTGTTTGATGTCAACCAAAATTCATTTAAAAGGTGGGAAGTGAAACGGAATGAAATGTTGGTGACGTGTTACTGTATTATTCTATCTGTGATGAAAAACATGGTTCTAACCTCGAAACAGGTTCCCTGTCAGGTAAACATAACACTGGGCTTTGAAGGGTTGGTTTCTTGGATTCATTCCAAACAAAAATCTGAAAAATACTATTATTAATGATGCCCAAGATTCATGACAGCTGACAGGGGTATACTGTACAGTGAAGGGGGCGTCGCTAGAAGTGTTAATGATAGCTTCAACAGTCGCCAAACTCATCTCCGAGGTCATTGCTCCTGTACAACTGCTGGACACTCTTCTGGCAGTTGCCAGCATGGACTCCTGCTCGCTGGCTGTGCTGCTGCTAAAAATGATGATGAGGGCAATATACTTAGTTGATATTAAATGATGTTCATCAGATAGTATCATCAGATATCTTTGCTTTGACGTCTTTCCCCCCCAAAAAAGGATACGATGGGAATCCTGTCACAAAAAAAAACTCCCTACATGTGTGAAAAGTTCTTTGAAACCCTTAATCAGATCCTTCAAGGTGTCTGATGGGACACTTTCCAGAGCCACGTCTACTGCCATGCGAAGCGCACCCGCTGCGCGCACTAGCCCAGAATGATCTTTCACACATGCCTAAATAGACATTGCACAGGAAAACCCGGATCAAAACTAAGTGCCACTAAACGTAAACCCAAATCGATCAATCTGTAAACATTGATTGACGTGAGTCTGTTGGACCAAGCCAATATAAATATCATCAACACAAGTTCTGTGTAATGCATATGATGATGTAATCCAAGACGCATCACTATTAAAAGATGAATTCGCAGCAGTAGGATCAGTGGAGGTATACCGTGACAGGTCTGAGAGGTCATCAGCCACAGTCACAGCACCGTTTGCCCGGACCATGGCAGCCAAGACTTCAACAGATGGTTTGAAAATCGTTTATAAAAACTTGTTTCAATGCATTGTTTCCTTTGCGACATCTTTCATTTGCAGTTCGAAAACTGTGCCGGATTTCTGAAAAAGTATCTAACTACGTGATTTGAGCTGGTAACTCTGAATAATTAGTCTATGGTGATGCTCCTCAAATTTGATCTGAAAAACTAACAGGTGGAAGGAAGGTTGTTTGGCCAACTTGATAAATCATTATTTTGTACGTAATGATTTGAATTTGAAGATAATCATGATAATTTGAAAGTAATTAGCGTTTCTCTGATGACAATTTCAAACTGCAGAATTGTTTTGATCGGAAAGTAAGATACGAACGCCCTCTGACTCTGTTCTGGGATTCCGCGCTACTGGGGGAGCGTATGCCCCACGCAACACGTTGGGTGACCAAATGTAGCAAAGCTCCTGAGAAGCGGTGTGGCGTCATACAAAAATACAAGCAAACACAAGAAACTGGGGCAAGCAGTGCGGTAATTAAGTAAGTACAACAAATACTGTAACATTGACACTTATGTAAAATCTGAAATCCAATATATCATTCAGTATTCAGGGTATCATCCTTGCATATCTGTGGCGTAGTGATGACCTAGCCAGCATGCCATGCTGCGTGCATTCAAGAGTCTGTCGGTTTTCCAGATATGCTCGAACCGTCAATGTAGACCTTGCAATGGCGCGTCATCCAAAACGTGTTTGAAATTGGAAGGTAAGGTCTTTGAAAAAACAAATTTAAATAACAAACATAAGTCATGGGTTCCAAAACACAGAAAATGACTAGTCATATTCAACGACTTATAAAACTCTTCTCGGTGTCTTTTGAACCTAATTCCCGAATTCCCTCCCCCTCCCATGGACTAAGGCTGGAACGTGAAAGATTTTGCACACACTTAGCTCTGACCTCGCTCTCGCCCAATATGCCTCCTGAGCGACAATATTACTGGAAACCAGTAACCAACGGTGTTTCACTTCTCATTTGTCAATGGTGGTTGTGTGATTTAAAAAAAAATTATGATTCCAAAGAATAATGGATCTGAGATTCACAAACCATGGGGCAAAATCTGCTCACTTGCATGGAGTCCAACTTCCGGTCATCAAGAAGTTTGCGCACTGTCATGCCGTTGTCATCCTTGGTGCAAAAGTAGGTTGTCGGGTTAAAGACCTAACACTGCATAACGTACATCAGATTCATGTGTTAATCATTTTTAACCTTGCTACTTGTACATACCTACATTTTTTTGAAGATAGTACATATGATTGGATCCCTTGGGAAACCGTTTCTCCTATTTAATAATTTTTCATTCAGAGACATTGCCATCGAACAAAACCGTACAGTATCAAACATTGAAAGAACATGTTGGAGAAAAGAAAGTAATAATCAAACAGCACAGAGTCATTCTCAAAAAGCAGCCAGACCGCAGCTTCGATGGCCACATATCTCGTAACAGCTGTGTTGTCAGTGCGATTCTTTTGGCGTGTATGAAGAGCATCACTAGTACGTAGTGCCAACTTCCCCACGTTAGAATCTATCCACTCAGCAGTTTGCTCCAAAATGGAATATGCCACTGGTGTAAGCAAGGGAGAAGAACGTTTGTTCTTGGGGTCCAAGGAAAACAAGATCAGGTCTATCCATTCCGGCCGATCCCAAGACGAACTTACCTGCTCATCTTGTCTGTCACCCAGTCTTGCCTCCCACTCCGGTTGGATTTGCCCTTGCAATCTGAGACTCCACACATCACTGCTGTGAAGGCAGCTGTTCCTGGTTGAAACCTGTAGAGTTTTTGTTTTAACTCTTCTTGTGCCAATGGTCTTGACAGTGAACTGTAAAGTTCCGGCGGCAACCAAAACTGTTTGCAAAAACTTTCTCAAAAACAGTTGACTGCTTCTGCGGTCTGCTGGCATCCTCCTAGACATAGAAACAGACCAAACCAACCAAGACATGCTCAGGGTTGTTGGCATGCACCTCCTCTTCAAATACAAGTTGCCTTCACTAGCTTTCACTGCTCCATGTTTTGACTCCAGCAGTGGGGGAACTTCGTAATCCGGCCACAGTTTTTCATGGATTTTCTCAATTTCCTTTTTTTTGGTCACGAAATGATCACGTAGTTTGTCCTCATCTCGGGTGGTGAAAAGATTCTGCAGGAAAAAAACAACATCCCATTGGGCCTGTGTATCTTTCCCCCCGTCAACCACCGTCACGAAGATTCCGTCACCCAATTCATGGGTTTCAATTGGCACCAAACTCGTTTCTGCTGCGTTGGACGGCAAATCAGTGTCATCAACGTCCATCACTACACGGTTCGAAACAATCCCTCAAAAAGTTTTACTGTTATGATACTGTAAGTTATTGTCACGCTAAAGCAGTTGCTAGTTCCCAAAACAAAATTATTTGGAGGTAGCATGTCAGCTGTCAGTCTGTCTTACCTCACTGAACATGTTTGCAAACTCTGAGCCGGGCAGCGAGAGGGACCCTGTCAAATACCCTGGGTGATGTAGGACATTGACCAAGACAGAAATGAGCTGATTCACAAATAATATTCACAAATCTTGTTCGGCATCACAACACTATCTGTATGACATTGCGCACTGATTTTTTTGCCCGCTCTGCCCCCCCCCACGTTTAGCAAAACATCTCTATTTCAAAAACTATTTTGACAGTCTCGCACTGACATCTTAATCTCGCGGAACAGCGACTGACCCCACTGAGTTATAGTTGCAAGAAATCACAAAAAAAAACATGAAAACCAGGAAAAACACATAATAACTTCATTTTAGCCTCAAATCTAGCCAAAATGAAATTAAGCCTTATTAAGGCTTATTTAGCCTTATTTGGACCTTATTTTTACATAAAAAATAGTGCCTATTTAGGCCTTATTAAGGCCTTATTAAGCCCTTATTAAGCCTTATTTCTTATTCCAGCCTTATTCCAGGTCTATTTTGAAGGGGGGGGGGTTCAAGGGGGGGGCCCTTTGCCTTTTGTGATCTTATGGTTATTATGGTTATTGTAGTTGTTAGGGTTACTATGGTTATCATATTTGTTATGGTTATTATGGTTATTGTAGTTGTTATGGTTATTATGGTTATCATGCTTGTTATGGTTATTGTGGTTATTGTAGTTGTTATGGTAACCATTGGTTTTCATGCTTGTTTTGGTTATTATGGTTTTTGTAGTTGTTTTGGGTATTGTGGTTAGCATACTTGTTATGGTTATTATTGTTATTGCAGCTGTTTTGGTTATTGTGGTTATCGTACTTGTTATGGTTATTATGATTATTGTAGCTGTTATGGTTTTTGTGGTTATTGTACTTGTTATGGTTATTATATAACCAGTTGGTGGTGCCCCCTACTAGATAGCTAAGTTGGTTGAGAAAGCTCCAATTTCATTAGGGTTTTGGCAGCTATAACCATAGTTAGATGGGTGAAACTAAACCAACTTACAACTGGGGGGCCCCACATTGATAAGTAAGTGGCTAATATTCCATGTATAAGCCATGAATTCAACTGAGTTATACGATGGTTATTATGGTTATTAACCACCTACTTGGAAAACCAATGAGCCTTCAGTAATTGAATATGGCTAGCTGAGAAATCCTCTATAAATTATGGTTTTCATGATATTTCATGTATAAAATGGGGTATGATCCTCCAAGTAAAGCTCCAATTTTGGGGGTCGTTGATGAAATTGGGTTGATTATTGGGGATGATGGCTGTTTAGGTTGATTCTTGGGGATTATGGTAAATACCCAGGTATTGCGGCCTTAACAACATAAAAGGATCCTCAAAACATATCAAAAGATGTGGAAAAATGATAGAAAAAACACTTAAAAAGAAGAAACAATCTTTTTAAAAAAACGCACGCACATAATTTTGTGCTAAACAAAACAGACCTCACGCTCACATCTTCAAAACATCACACCCAATGGCAGTTTCCCAGTGGCAACAGCGATATCCAAAAAGAAATCTGCCCATGCCGGGGCTGCCGGGGCTGCCGGGCCTATACGACATGGAGGCGTGGAGTCCATTAAACAAAGGTCCACATCCAAAATGTCTGCAGCATCTACGCCAGCACTCTCTGCTACCACTTCCAGGAGTTCCTGGCGAAACACCCTGCTGCGGAAATGTGCTCTGAAAATGGGGGATTTACCCCAATTCAAAGGCAGCTTGTTGGATGGGAAAAGTGATGGCATTTGTTTTATGGGAAAAGTGATGATGAGCAGCTTTGATTGACCGTCTGATTTAATTTTTAACGATGGTACCGTTGGTACCGTGCCTTATGTTCAGACAAAGCCATCTCTCAACTTATTGATTTCCCTCTATTCTTGAATGAAAATTCTGCCCCGCAGCCTGTTCCAGCACGTTGGCACCTCGTGATGTCGTCGCTCTGGACTTTCTTCCTGCTTTTCTTCTTTTTTGGCTGAACTGCTGAGACTTGAGCCGCAGGGTGGACAAAGCACCGGCTGAAGTTCGTTCTCCTTGTTGGGAGAGAAGGCCTGACCTTAGTATTCAAAGGTTGCAGGGTCCTATAAACGATCCAAGAAATCACACAAAGCCAACAGTTGTTTATGCAAGAAAGGACTCAGATATTTGTGTGTGTATACATATTATATATTATATTATATTATATTATATTATATCATATTATATTATATTGTACTGTATTATATTATATTATATCATATTATAACATATTATACCATATTATATTATATTGTATTATTTTATATTATGTTATATTATATTATATCATATTATATTATATATGTATATTATATTATAGATCTATCTATCTATCTATCTATCTTATCTAATCTATCTATCTAATCTATCTATCTATCTATCTATCTATCTATTTGTATTTATATGCATTATATATATATACCAAATATGTATGTATATATATATACATATCAAATATGTATGGAAACCATATGGGTAGGGTCAAAATTGGGAGTTCAATTAGTAAGTAGTCATCTTTGCATTTTTTGAGGATCCAAATGGAGGCCACCATTGGTACCCTCAGGTGAATTGACCATTGCCGTCTGTGGGTCCGTGGGTAGCCAATTGGCGTTGCATCCTCATCACTGGTTTGTAGTGATTCATCGTGGTTAATGGTGGTTAATAGTCGTTAATAATTAATGGTGAAGAATGGTTAATAGTGGCTATAATAATCTCGTTGGTGGTTTCAACCCCTCTGAAAAATATGAGTTCGTCAATGGGAAGGATTATCCCATATATTATGGAAAAATAAAAATGTTCCAAACCACCAACCAGATCACCAAGATTGGATCCATACGATTCATATGTTTACAAACCACATGCTACAAAGATATGTCAATATCTACAAATCCAGTAGATGATGTGGATGCAATAGATGATGCTATGCTATCATGGCTAGCTATCTCCCCTGGCCCCGGTAAATTGTCCAGGAGACGTTCCTTCTCATTCTTCAGATGAATCGCCAAGTTGGGGATCAAACCTCATGAAGCAGAAAACCTGGTTGTAGTGATTGAGACAAACAGTGATAAGTTGGGTCAACAACACGTTCTTGCAGACAAATGTAGCAAACAATGTCAATCAAACTCAGGTCTGCAATTTCGGCCGCCATGGCCCCTTTCCGAGGGACAAATGGGTTTCTCCACCCGCACCAGCACCTCCTCCATGCCCTCCTTGGTGGCACAGATCACCTTTCCAGCCATGCCCAGCGGCCGATCAAACCAGGTGTGCCATAGGCCTCGGCCATTTGTGGTCGGCGTTCATGCCATTTGTGCGAAAGGGGTGCCCCAAAAAAAAGGAGAAAAAAAGGTAGGTCCTAGGTCCTAGGTCCCTAGAAATGTTTGGATTTGGACTTCCGGAACGCATCTTGAAAATGTCCGAAAATGACAGACTTCAGTGCCACTTCGATTCTTCGATCAAGAAACCTCCACCATAGGTGTCCACTCCGATCTGCAGCATCCCAGCGCTGGAGGGCATCTTTGAACATGGCCGTAGCTTCAAGCACGGTGAATCCTCAAGTCGCTTGGGCAATGCGGCAAGGCTCAAGGATCGATTTAATTGTTTACGCTTGTGTAGTCAATCATGGTGTGCTGGCAAATGTTTCTCATTTATAGCTGATTTTCCCACTAAAACTTCCCAGTTCTAGGGTATTTTCCAGCCAGCCACGTTTGGTTACCAGAGGGTACTGAGAATGAGTATCACTCTGCCAGGGCACTGTGTGCGCGGCAGCAATCACCACACCTCCCTTGGAAGCATCAAAGGCACCTCCAACACCAAAAGCACAGATGGATGTGCCTTCCTTCGTGATAAAATATTTCCTCGGCTGCATCCAAGGCGGAGATGTGCCAAAACAAAATCATTCGATTCAGATGGATTCAGTATCTCCAAACCAAAACAACAAAATCATTGGATTCAGTATCTCCAAAGCAAAACTGGTTAAAACTTGCGAACTATTTTCAAGCGCCGAGAGTCCCTCCAGCTTTCATTTCCCAGACATCTGAAAGCTCCACAAAACCTGCAGCTAGTAGCCGCTTCTTTGCTTCTGCTACCTTAGACACTGCGCGAAGCAAACAGGCAAGTGATTTGCTGATACCTGGTCCACTCAATAATCATTACTTTGATCTTTGTCTACACTACCCGTTCTGGCCGGCGTCCTTTCATCCTCAACCCCAAGGCACTTACCCATTTCACCAAAAGCCAACCGCAAGTGACACCGAGTCAAACTTGACTTCCAGATTTCAACCAGGTTGTCACTCGCATCCCATCATCCCATGGCCGTTCCGTGCCATGGCTGTGCCGGGGCACGGTATGCGCCGGCGACCCCGTCCGCCCCACGAAGTCCAAAAAGTCCTCGGAGGCGTCGGAGGCCGCCGCGCATCCGACGAAGGTCCGCCGTTGACGCGCCTGCGACTTTGAGCGTTTCACCTGGGAGCCGGCAAGTCATGGGGCGAACTGGTCATTTGGGGGATATCAAACCAAAGAGCACTTTGAAGTGCTGGGGATATCTTGGGTACATCATTGATATACTAAGATATAATGAGAATTAATGAGATATGACCACCAGTGATCATCAGTGTGAAAGAGGTATGATCATCAGACGAACAGTAACTGGTCAAAAACCTGCGAAGGCGCTAAGTCCTGGGGTTATGCTCTGCTTAAAATTGGATGAGTCAAGTCGGGTACCAATGGACCCACAACAGGCTGGTCCTCAAGATCTCAAGCCATCCATTTTGGGGTTGATAGTTTGACTATTTTTGACCCATCTCTGGATCCATGAGATCAAGCCACGGCGGATAAGTTGGAGTTACCAAAATGGGTAAGTTGGAGTTACCAAAATGGGGGATACCATGGGATAGCTTCTTGTTGATTTTGTTGATTTCTTTAGCCTCTCTGTCTGTCATAAGGGGAAGTACGTTAGGAACTATGTTGGAGTTGGGGAGAACTGGATCCCAAAGAGGCGAACATCCAAAGAAGATGTTCCTGCGCCTACCTTGTGGGATATATGCGATGCATACAAAAAAAAATGAGACAATGAGAGTTGAAACATGTTGAAACCATGTACAGATTCCAGTAACAACAAAAATCACACGAGATTCAGGGGATCGAAAAAAAATCCCCCAGCTCTGAGATTTCGAGCCACGGCAGCGCCCACAGCCAGTGCCATGGGAATTGCTATGCAGCTGCTTTGGCTGCTATGTCTCGATCCCCGGCCAGGGACGGCATGGCTCACTGGCGTCCCGATTTTTTGGGGTGCCAGCTGTCCCAGCTGTCCCAGCTGTCCCAGTGCTACGCGGGGAGGTCGCAACATCTTGAGATCTTGAAGCGGAGGCAGCCACAAAACCGGAGACAACTGGGTGTCTCTTCACCTGCAATCTGCACCAAGCCACTTGAAACTAGTGAAAGTGAAAATGCCAAAATGGATGACAAGCTGGAAGGCATGCTCTGAAATCGAAAATCGACAAAACTATATATCTCAGTTTACCGTCGACTTCCAAGTAGGAGGGACCAAATGAACAGGTGCCGCAGAATGCTTCTAGCACTTGTCTGCAGACATTATCTGCAAGACTTGGGGACCCAACTATCCTCAGTTCCTCTACTGTAACTGCCTTTCTGGGCTGGCTTTGGGTGTGCTACCTTTCAAAAAATGTCAACTTTGCCGGGCCATTTGGAGATGATATCCTTCAACCATCTGACGGAAAAAAAAACGACATGAGGTCGTGATGAAATTCAGATACATCAACAAAGTGAGGCCCCCCAGTGGAATGATTTTGGTTTTAGATTCACCAATACTGTAGTTACCCTCCTGTAAACTGACAGTTTGCCATGGGAATCGCCATTTGTAAGAACGGTAAATCGTCGAACTAAAAGGGCCATGGCTTCCACAGCTATGTTAGTTTACTGGAGAGTATATCCCATTATAAATCCACTAACTATAGTTAAATATCCCCTTAACCAATGAAATATCCAGTTCTGTTCCAGAAGGTCACCAGGTCACCCCACTTTTCGATGGCCATGATGGGAAGCACCTCGTCGTTGCGGATCCAGGGCCTGTCACGTCGAAAAACGCGAAAAAGTTACCCTTTACGGCTCGGTCAGCTGGGAGTGTGGCGAATGTCCAGGATTACCCAGCTATACTCATAATACTCTATATATATATATATGTATGTATGTATGTATGTATACATACATACAGACATACATACATGTGTATATATATAGGGGGAGTTAGTAAGATTGGGAAGGTGGGGGTGTCATTGATCCCCCATTTTAAGTTTGATAAATGACAAATACTAAACACATATAATCTACTATATATATATATTCTATTGTATACATATAATCTATGATCTATACAATCTATATAGATACAAATATGTATATATATATATATGTAGGACCAAACATAGAGATGGAGAAAAATCCTACTAAAATTGTAATCGATGTTCCATCCTTGGGATCAAGTCCGCCACTGAGAGAAACACCTCGAGGCGTCCTGGCAAGTCATTTCAATCCTGGATTGATGGGTATAATTGTTAAAAAAAAACTAGGGATGGTTTAGATCAATGACTATCCTCAAAATCCCTGGGCATCAATGATTATATCCCAAAAAGAACTATAAGTATAAAATCATAAAATCATATAAAATATAAAATATCAATCTCTTGACTCTAAGACCATGATTTGATTCCCAATGCTTGGCATATCTGCTCCTCTCCAGGCAAGAAGTTCCGGATCGCTCCAATGTCCTGACCGGCTGTGCCGGTAAAAGTACTTGCCAAAGGAACAGTTTGCGAACTGGAAAACATGTTTAAGGGCTGCCACGGTTTCCATATGTCATGTTTCCATAGCTATGTAACAAATTAACGGAGGTTAAAGGTTTGATGCACATTCAAAGGCAAACCATCCATGAAAACCAAACGGTTTATTTAACACGGAACCAACGGGCAGAAGCATTGAAGTCAACATACTCCTTGTGCAAACACCACGTGTTTGCCCTACAGAAAAAGTGGACACCATATTCGATCGAAGAACCACTTTTTTGACCCAGAATCATGTTAATATTGAAGATTGCAAATACTTCACGGAACTTGCTTGGAAGAAAGCTAAAAAAATACAAAAAAAATGCATCCGCTTAGCAGCTTATACTCACTTTCTTCCATGTCCTGATGCACGGCCGAAAGGATGGCGTGGTTGATCACCTCGGCTATCCCCAACATCCGGAGAAGTTTTACCCGGTCATTTCTTACACTTTGCTATTGAAAATGGCCATAGAGAGTTCGTTGATTTACCCAGCTATAAAATATTTAAAAATTGTGATAGTTTACCAGAGGGTAATTGGTTTGATATCCATGTAACATCATGCAACCCTCTGGACATCGGCCTCCATCAACGATTCGGGCTTTCGCACATTGGCAGAAACAAGGCCACAGCGATTGCGCAGGCGCTCGCGGACCATCTCTGGAATAGCCTGGAGACATGGCTATTTCCAGATCATTGGGGTTGGTATATGTCCTTTTGGGGGGATTTTGAACATCACTTGAAAAAGTATATAGAGATTACAGCAGATCCCCTTTTCTGTTACCAACGCTCGGTCAGGTCGTAAACGCGCGCCGGCAGTCCTCCTACAATGTTTGACAAAGATCATCAAAATGTTGATGATATATATATATATATAATATTATATATAGATATATATAGATAGATATAGATAGATAGATAGATATAGATAGATATAGATAGATATAGATAGATATAGATAGATATAGATAGATATAGATAGATATAGATAGATAGATAGATGGATGGATGGATGGATGGATAGATAGATAGATAGATAGTGAAATGACATAATGCAGCAAGTTCCTCTTCATGGATGATGGAGATTAAGATATATCGAAGAAAAATCAGACGTACTACCCCAAACCCCATGACGTAACGTAGAACATCTCTAGCAAAACACATTGTGTGAGTGCAAGTGCCAATAAACGTTATTGCCCCCCACACCCCACCCCACCCAACCCGAAACACTGACGTACGCGGGGAAAATTGTGCGCGAGGAAAATTGTAGGAAAACACGCCGTGCCTTTGGGAATTGCTTTCACAAAAACGTGCGCTTTCAGCCCGACCGAGACCCTTTTTTTGTTGGATGATGAGGACATTTACTGACTCCTGTTGAATGCGACTAGGTCACCACATCTTGAGAAACACCCCCCAAGGAACTTGCAGATTCCACCGGGTCACGAGTTGGGGCCGATTCTTCCCTCAGTTGAGGTGTCCCTAAGAAAAGCAGAAGCCTCATCAGCGAGATAGACCATGTCATCATCGATCTTCAAGTAGACCTGCCCATGGAGGTACAGTAATCCTCTCAGCTGATCTTCCTCTTCCTCCTGCTTCTCTTTCTGTCCGAGGTACTTTCTTTACCCAATCAAACATTGCCATAGAAAATCCCAGAAAACTGGATGAGTTTCCCAATGATCAACCTCCATGGCCACTTGGGGCCCATTGCCGCCCTTCTGGTGCCGAGGAACCGTATCAGGATCCTGACAAATCGAGTAGAACTTGGCCAAGCGCCTTCGGGCGTTGGAACGAATCCGAAGGTCAATGGAAGCGTTGACAATCCAGGAAAAAAACAAAAGACTATCCTGGAAAAAAATAAAGACTGATAGATTCATAGACTGATAGAAGAACAGATAAAGACTGATAGAAATAGATAAAATAAAAGACCTTTCCTGTAAATTGATGAAACTGATCAGCAACTGTCAGGTGGCTATGAGGCCCAAAATCCAATTTGGGGATCAACCAAGCTGCACATCAAGAATTATATACTACATATACGAATACTACAGTACTATATAATCATTAAGTATATCCGAATCATCGTCGTCGTCGTCCTCCTCCTCCACCTCCTCCTCTCCTCCTCATCATCATCATCATCATATGTCATCATATGTCATCATATGGCATCATATGTCATCATATGTCATCAGTATATATATATATATAATCACTGTCGTCTTCTTTATCATCAACAACAACAGCATGTCTTCTTCCTCATCCCACTGGATGATCGAAACGACCTTCCAGTCACTGCCGGATACGCATAGTCTGGAGCCTCGGAGTGTCTACTCGGTTCCGAGTTTGGTGAAAGATCACTTGATTTTGCCAAAAAAAACTGGATACACGGGTGCCAAAATTGAAATGAATTTTCTGTCATGTTCACTATTGATATCTATTGAGATAATACTATATATTGTTTCAAATGGGACTTCAATTTTCAGGTCCTACGTAGTGAAAATGATTAGTTCAAGATTCAAGGCATTCACCCTGAACACAAACTGTGGATTCAAAATCTGACGATCTTCCAGAACCATGAAGTATGACCACAGATACCCCTGACATCCACAGACTTCGGTGACTTGGGTGTCCGTACGTGATCTGCGATGAGCTGCGTGAGGTAATCCATGTCCTCCTTGAAGGCTGCGAAGACCACAAAGTGGACCACATCCACCACCTTCGGTCGCTCCCAGTGGAGGGTCAGGAAACCAATGAACCATCCCCAATGACTTACCATGGATGGTGTTTGTGTATAAATATGTATATATATATATAAATTAAAGCATCAAAATAAGGGATGATTTATTCTTTACTAGCATTATTGGATTTTACTGCTTCCATTTCGTATGAATCCATAAGGGGGCCATGACTTTGAGATGGTTGCGTATCCCATGGCTGGGATTTCCCTGGATGTATCCCATGATGCCACCGCAACGCGGAACCCTTGGCGTCTGGAAAATTCGGCGACTTTTACCCCAAATCTCCTCTGGCCCATCGGCTCATCATTTTTACACCAAAAAACACCATTTTGGGTTCTATGTATTATATATATACATATTATACTATTTATATGTATATGTATTATATAAATATATATACGTACAGCCAGCTGGAAGAACTACAGTCCTCCAACCTTCGCAACCGGTCCTGAGACCCCTGACACCCCCATTCCGGCGTAGGTTTCGAAGCAGGTACCTGGCGTGACGACCCACCAACAATGGCGCTTTGCCGCGAAATAGGTAGGTCAAGACATCGCCCAAACAATGGGATGTTTGATGTAAAAACGCTTGCTGACTACATGGTTGTCGAGATTTTGTGTATACTATCTATATACCATAGTAAATACCATAGTATAGCTATATAGTGTATGTATCTAATATATTTTGTGTATACTATCTATATATAATAAATACCGTAGTATACCTATACAGCCAAAGACTTGACCAGCGAGTAAAGTTTTCGAACTTTCGTAGAAAAATGATTGCTGCATCGCTCTGCGCACTTGTGCAAGATCTGTATGCGGTCCTGCAGCTGCTGGGAGAAAAGCCAATGAGGAACATGTTCAGTTTTTATATGTGTTCAATTGTTTTCGTATATACCCTCTGGTAAACTAACGTAACTATGGAAAATCACCATGTTTAATGGGTAAATTCACTATTTTTATGGCCATGTTCAATAGCTTTTTGTATGTTTACGCGCAAACTTCCCAGTTCGCCCACACAACTTCTTAGGGATTTTGAAGCAATATAAATTCCGACCCCCGTTAAACTTTACATTCAATTGGCAAGATCAACATGGGTATTATATAGGAATATAAATTCCCACCCCCGTTAAACTTTACATTCAATTGGGAAGATCAACAAGGGTATTAGGAATATAAATTCCCACCCCCGTTAAACTTTACATTCAATTGGGAAGATCAACATGGGTATTAGAAATATAAATTCCCGCCCCCGTTAAACTTTACTGGTACATTCAATTGGGAAGATCAACAAGGGTATTAGGAATATAAATTCCCACCCCTGTTGAACTTTACATTCAATTGGGAAGATCAACAAGGGTATTAGGAATATAAATTCCCACCCCCGTTAAACTTTACATTCAATTGGGAAGATCAACAAGGGCATTAGGAATATAAATTCCCACCCCCGTTGAACTTTACATTCAATTTGGAAGATCAACATGGGTATTACAAGTAGGAATATAAATTCCCACCCCCGTTAGACTTTACATTCAATTGGGAAGATCATTTGAAAATGATGGTGATGATGATGATGATGGTGATGATGATGATGATGAGTTGATGTTGATGTTGATGATGATGTTGTTGTTGTTGTTGTAACATTCGACGCACAGGTAGCTAAGCTGTGCGTTGCAAGATGAAAGCCATGATCATGGACATGTGCATTTTGTCCCACAAAAGACCGTGTTTATTGATGTTCGGACATGTCGTCCGGGTCGGCGCGGGTATTTTTCATATAGCTGAGCCAAGAACTGGAGGATCTGGATGGATTTTTTTGGGATTCACCTCGTGCATCTGGCCATCTGGCCTTCCTCCCGTAGACCACAATCGCCTCTACACGTTGATGTTCCAAACCTGCCATGGCGAAGGCAACTAAGCTCAGCCACCGGACTGACATGTCAAAGCTCAGCCACCAAGACAGGAAGTGAATGGGATTGCGATTCAGATTCTAGATTCTGGATGATCCAAAGCGTCTAGTGACTGATCATAGTAATTCACTCACCTGAATTCTGTTTCCCCTCCAATCTTGTGATCCAGCGGCCTACCCCCGCAACCCCCTTCTGCAGACCTGGATTAAGGCCACTAATCTTCCAGTCCCCAGCCAACCCCCCCGCGAGCAGACCTGAAATAACCCAATGTCATTTGTACCATCCCCAAGTCATCACCATTTTTATGGCTTGGATTTCAACCTCAATATGGAAGGTGCCAGCACCTGCTGCCAGATCTTCCCGGCGACTCAGAGAACATCTGGGCTCTCGCGGATCACGACCTCATCGAACTATGGGGGGAGTTCAAGCCTGGAAAAGGCCCAGACATGATGGGTTTTTTGCTGATTTTTTGGGGAGTTCTACCGGGTTTAGGCTGATGCCCAGTCCGCCCTGCGTTGACGTTCCAGAACCAAATGTCCAAGCATTGAACAAGAACTGAACTACTTATAGATTTGGGGATTCTCTATGTACCTGGACATCAACTCCCTAGATGGAAACATAACTATACAAATCACCTTCCAAAGTTTTCCACTCCAGTCCCATCATGTCCCATCCACACCTGGGATCATTTTGGAGGCTGGTGCGATCTTCCCCTGTGACAAATGTGGAAGGCATCACTCCACAACCACCACTCTTCGCCCCCGAATGACCGAGTTCGCTGAGTTCGCTGAGTTCGCTGGATGTAAAAAGTCCTGTTCGTTCAAACTTCAAAATTTCAACAGGTCCGGTGCAGATGTGGACCATATTCTTGTTGAAAGATCTGTGTTTTACGTGGTGCAAAGCTTGGGTCAAGCCATCGATGCCATGCTCCGCTCCTCAAAGGTTGTGATCAGCTCCAGAAGGGGCCAGGGGGACATCAGAATCTCATGCCTTGGACTGCGCGAAAAAACTGAGGCAATGCAATTTTCATAGTGGCTATATAATAGTGGCTAATAGTGGTTAATTAACCCAGAAATCATGGAATGTAGTAGGATATTAATTGGATTTGGGTACATGCTACGAGGTGGTAGTTCCCTTCGGAATCGCTAAGTTGGTGTTTGCCTAACTCCAATATAGAATTGATTGACTTATGGTAAATATATCGAACTATTTAATGGTTCTACATAAATCGACAAACATTTCACCTATGGGGCACCACATTGTGGAAACCACGGGCTTCTCCATTGGAGCAGACAACAAAAGGGATGTTCAGTAACGGGAGGGGATTCAAGCATTGAAAGTATCACCAAGTCACGGATTGCTGTAATCAAGATCGGATCTATTGACCACCGAACAAGCTTGGTCAATTCATAGTGGAGTGGTAAGAACTTACTCTTTGGTAACCATGGTTTTTTCAGACCCGTGAGAAATCCCACAGGCATCAACTCGTTCAAACCAATCACCAGACGGCGCCACTCAACGGAGTTGCAATGAGGTGAATGGTTCAAGCCGTCATCCCTCAGCAATACTTGAGCGAAAAAAAAATGGAACACGCGTTTGAGCGAAATTTCCGATGTATATAAATTGGATGACAAACTCCATTGTTTCAGTCTTGCGGGCATTGCAAAGTGTCAAGAAAGGCAAACATTGAGAATAATTGTCGATTCGCGAATGGATCAATTTCCCTCCAGTGTCTTTGCACCCTAAATTCAGACAATCCCAAATTCTCTGCCCTTGAACTGGAATGCTTGCTGAACTCGGATGCTCCCTGGCCACCCCAGATCCACGCCTGAAAAAATCTATGAAAAAAAAGTGGCAACAAATCACCACGTGATTCCCCCGTGTGGCTATCATTTACCCATAGTAGGTTGGAGAAATCATATATATATACATATACATATACATATACATATACATATACATATATATATATATGTACCTATACATGTGCATAAATATATTTATATATATATACATATACATATATTTCCATGAGATGGTTGATGTAATCCCGATTTCCGCTGAAATTGTTCGAGCCAAGGGACAGGGGCCACTTGCGTTGGCTGAACCATGACTTCACCTAGATGGGGGGGGGGCCGGGGGGAGGCGGACACCTGGCTGATCCTGGCTGCAAGGCATGGCTTTAACAGTGCTTTAACGATGATGAAACAGTGATTTAATGGGATTTAGTGTTGCTTTAATGATGATAAACGGGATTTCAGGGTGATTTTAAAGAGGTTAAACCTACAAGATGATTTTTCATGGGAATGGAAATATGCATATGGGAGTAAAAAGGGAATACCAAACTTCAACCCATTCTCACCCTGCAGAAAAACTGGGAACTCTGCCATGACTTCGCCTTCTGTAAGCAGCTCGCGTTGTGCCTCACAGACAGATTGGTGCTGCCGCCTGGGGTAAAAATCCATCACCCTAAAAAGAACGGGTAGGGTGCACATCCAAACACCCAACCAACATCAACAAATCGTGGGTATGTATATATATATATTATTATGTATGTGTAATATATATATATAGTTGATTATATATCATCAACCTCACATGCAACAAGAGTCCTAAGATTTCACAAGTCTGAATGGCTCCAGCCACAAAATCTGCCACAAGATCTTGGTTTCGAATCCAACAAAATCAGGAAATCATTCCATTCTACATGCAATTCTAAATCAATCTAAATCACGAAATCAGGTGATTAGGTGCTGATTTCTGCAAAAAATACAGCAGTATTTTTCATCGTATTCTCATCATATCTCCATTATATCATGGTTCTTGGTTAGATTTCCATTTCTTGTTGCTTAAATCCCCATTTGTTGTTGGTTCGACCACCATTTTTGTTGGTTAAGTCACAGTTTGGGATGGTGAAGTCACAGTTTTTCTTGGTTCAATCCCCACTTTTTGTTGGTTGTTAAATCCCAATTTGTTGGTTCACTCCAATCTATCCCACTTTTTGTTGGTTTTTGTTGCTTAAATCCCAATCATCTTTTTTTCTGGGCATTTCTCAGCTCCAAAGTTGCCCCACCTCCGATTCACTCGAAGTCGACAGAGCCAGGGTCCAGATCGCGGCCGCCACAGCAGGGGCGTAAGGCACCTGGGAAACGGTGCAGGGACAACAGTCATTGCTGTTGGGAATAGACATATGTAGATAGTCTGATATGAACCTATTAATTATGTATATATATATACATATTATGTAATAGATATGTGTATGCATATACTGTATATACATATGAGATATTCCTTTAGCCAATTTCATACCTATAAGATGTAGCAACCATCATTCCCATCGACCAGGATCAACCAGCCGCGCTGCGCATCTCAGTGGCACACCGCAGCAGCCAGGAATCGCGTGGCAGCCGCCGTGGACGACCGCAGGGCTGCCAGGGGCCACGGTGCTGTGCAGATGGTTTTTCTTCGGGCATGCTATGGATCAAAATTCTTGGAACCCCCAAAATGAATCAAAATCATGGTATATCAAAATTCCTGAAAGTGACTAAAATGCTGGTTTTCTTGGTGCCTAAATGGGACGACCCACGGTGATTGGACAAAGACTTCTTTTATTCTCATGATCCTTCCAGAGATTCCCCCGCACCTTGGGAGGAGATGGCTGATCTGGTGCGGCAGGGGGGACCGTAGGGGACCGGAGCCCCAAGAGATGACTAGGTCCAATACAAATCCAACTGACAAGGTGTTATGGAAGATTGCAGTAGAATCAAGGGACTATGTTTTTCGAAAAAACTAAGCAACAACTCACAGCCTCACCTTGAATCAAGCTTCGGTTCAATGTCTCGCAACTCAAGCTGGAAGCTCCACGGCATGGCTACTCAACTCTAGATGGCCAAGACCTCAGTGAAACAGGCCAGCTACACGTCAGCTTCCGCAAGAACTCGTCGCACTGCGGAGTGGTCGAACTGAGGCAACGGGACACAACGGGGACACAACGGGGCTGGTTCCACGCAGGTGGCGATAAAAACACGCCCTTGAGATCGTGCCTACAAATTGTCCTTGGCTGTATGGTGTGTCTGCATTGCAGAAATTCATGAAGGGCTTCATCATCTTCATCTTCATCATCATCTTCATCATCTTCATCTTCATCATTCTATGTCTGTAAAAGGGCTTCATCATCTTCATCTATACAAAATGATCGAACAATAGCTCCTATAATCCTATGAAACTCTCTTGGCAATTCATCTAAGCTGTACCGAAATCTCGCACCAAAATCTCGCCGAAAGGATCTGAAAAGTTGGGTCCACTGAGGCAATCATTGATTTTGTTCATCCACTTGAAACAAGCAGAAATTGCACGCCTGAAATAGCGAATAGTCTAAGAATAGTGTACCTCAGTGTACCTCTAAATCCACTGCTTCGGTTCACTTTCCGTATGGCCATGACTTGGAGGCGCCTCATGATGTGGGGATAAAGATGTCGCGAGTCCTGAAAATGGCACACTTAAATCACTTAAATGTTAAAAAAGCGAAGTAAATAAGTGGATCACAAGATCTTCACTCTTGATCCACAGCCATAGAAATGGCCCCAGCAATATCTGCGTTGCACCCGAAAAATCGCGGCTCCTGTTTCACTCGCTGTCGCAGGGCAGTGAGAGCACCAAAGCTGTGCCAGGACAGCAAGGGCCCCCATGGAATCTGAGCTGGAGGGATGGAGCGAAAAAATATGGTGCCCCGGTGCCCCTATGGCGATGGTCCTATGGTGACATTAGTGCCTAAAAAGCTCGGAAGCTCGGATCCATTACGAAGCCTCCAAGCAAACTTCGGGAAGTTGTGTTTTTACCCACGCCCCATATGGCCCATACAAGGCCATACCCCATCTCCACTCACCCATATGGCTACCTCCAAAAGCACGACCCCAAACTTCTTGCGCAGAACGCCCGCTCGCAGGCTGCTGTTGGCATGCACCAGGTGCCAGACCTCAGTGATCAAGACCTGAAGCGATCCATTTTGTTCACATCCAAATAGTTGCGAATGAACTTCATGTTAATCTCTCAAAAATATGCTATAATCATCATTAAACCACTTTGATTGAAACTCGCATGAAACCACCAGTTTTGATGGTTAATAGCTTTGGTCGCCATGGATATTGACCCATCCACATTTTGTTCACGTTGTTGGAACAGTCTCTCAGCAGTTCTGCCCTGCCCAGAAGCCGTAAGGGTGAATTGCCCCAGGCGACAGCCGGCGTTATCTGCGGCCGGGTCAACCGGTGTTTTTCCATGGGACTTTAACCCCTGTGAAATCTATCCACTTCACTGGAACTGCACAAGTTGGAAAACCATATCCCAACTGGATGTGGACCGTTTGAGGCGACTCTGGAAAGTCTGGAAGTGGACTGAAAAACATGAGCTGTTGCTCAGCTTGTGAGTATCATATGGTATCATTGCAATGACTCTTTGAATTCGAGGGTTCAAGCTGAATGAAGCTCAACCAATACTCAGTCATGTATCAAACTTACCTATGATCACTGGGAACTTTCGTCCCGCTTCATCCCGCTTCAGCTTGTCTCATGTGTGGCTTTGGCCGTTGTCCCTGCGAATCGTTCTTCAGCTGCTTCATACAGTTGGTTCTCTGCCAAACTTATTCGAAATTGCTAGGCAGCACTGAGACATTCATGTCCTCGCCGAGACATTGTGGGATCAAAGTGACAAAGCTACACCAGGTACCAGCTGCAACCAATGCTGACCAATGTTTGTTGAAATGAGATTGCCGTTGTTGTAGATGTGGCACGTGGTGATAACTACACCCCCCTTTAAAAAAAAAATAGTGCCTTTGTCTCACCAAATCAGGACTCCATAGGACTCCATTTCACCTATCAATTTCATCGCTTTACTTTCGCACTGTCACTTTTGTACATTTGTCTGCCTCGTTTGAATGTTCAGCACCACTTACTTGTTGCGTGCTTTCACTTGATCAAAACAAGCCATGGCTTACTGCAATGTCAAGCCCACATAAATGGATCTAAATGGCACCCCAGGAAGTGACTTTCAAATTGAAGGTGGTGGATTTTCCTGTCCATTGTTGCTTCAAACGGAGCACTGAGCGCTGTGTCTTTTAGCTGATTCTGGCCTGCAGTGGAAAATGTGACACAAAATCTTTTTGTGTCACTGCCAAACAAGCTGTTGTAGCCATGCTGTACATGGCCAAATGAGCAGCTGCTCAAATGCTTTTAAAAGGAAACTACTACAATGGCCAACCCAGAATTCATGGGGTCTGGTAGACTGCGAAGGATTTGGAAGGCCCGTTTCCTGCTCCAATGAGCAGAAGCTGTACATTTTGGGCAAAGTTCTCGACACTGCGCTCTGCGCGGTGACCGCGGTCATTCCAGGGTATGCGCAGGGTATGCAGTTTGAAACAGGTAATGGGCAGCTTTCGCTGGTGATGGGCAGCTTTCGCTGGTGATGGGGGGGGTAGTTGCACAGCAGGCACAGCCATTGGCACCCACGGGGTTTACCCGGTTTACCCTGTACAGCAAGAGAACACTGGTCTCATTCTCCATCATGTGTAGTATTTAATCAGTGCTGTCACTTTGCTTTGCTCAGGCACTCAAGGTGCTGGCACAGATTCTCCTGTGCGACGAGGTGTGATATGCAAGTTCCATGCGATGTGCAAAAGAAAAAGGATTAACTAGGCTAACTGGCTTTATGGTGGATAGATCATGGTATTTATATATATATGGTATTTATATATAACAAACAGAACTGGGGGGGTCCCTACTGTGGCTGATACGGCTTGGAACATATCCAGCTTCGATTTCCCTTCGAAGACCCACTAATTCCTGTTGGTTTTCACGACCTTTTTTCTAGATTATAAACAGGATACATATATCAATAATTAGGATGGTTCAACAACCTTCAACACTCAGCCCATGCAATAATATAACTTTCAGAGGGGCGGATTTGGATCGTATAAGTTGCAATTAATCATTCAATATATAGGCTTCCTATGGCTTCCTTGTAGTTGATATGTTGCTTGCCTTGTAGTTAATATTTCGGTTGTTGAATCGTTTTTTGGTCGCGGAATCGTGGAATCTTGGTTGCAGAATCATTGCTCTTTGGTTCCTGAATCGTGGAAATGTGGTTTTTGGAATCGAAATTTGCTTGCGAACTCGGTCGTAGCCATCGCTGGAACCTTGCCAACCTCCCCCAGAGCCACCTGGCTTGCCCCATCGACGTCGCTCTTAACGGAGCTTGGCCTTGGTCCGGCAACTTGGCCCCGGCCCGGCCATGGAGCTCAGTTTTTTGGGGTTGGTGATGCTTTGACCCATACCCCAATTTGCGTGTCAGTTGAGGATTGCTTTTCCTGAATTAAAAACTGGTTGGTGACTCGGTGACGTCAGGGTCCGGGTGCTCCCGGCGACGCATCCGTCCCTGCGGTGCTCAAACTTGAACTGCTGATACTCCTTGGTGCGGTGCACCGGTTTTGATAAGAAACTCCTCAAATGTTCAGGGATGTCCATCCCCACAACACACGAAACATTCGCACTGTGTCAGATTCTTCATATGTCAGGAGCATAGTGGTCTGGCAACAGCCTTCAACCTCGCAGCCAAGTTGCCTGAGTTTTTCTTTCCAAACCTGGAGCTTGGCTGTGAGATGAAAAGAGCTACGGAACTCTAAGGAACTTACAATTTTTGTCTGCCTATATACCCTCTGTTCCTCAAACTTGGCGGGCCACTTGGAGATTGAGTTGGGAAAATCATCGCGAAAATGGGTGGATGTTCCAGGCCACGGTTGATGACACCGGATATATTATATATATATATATACATACCTACCAGTAGCCACCAGCTCCACTGAATCTCAGACTACCAGTGACCAGGCGACAGCCACCATGCCATTCCGTCTGGGTATCCCAGGCTCCCTCAGATCCAGAGATGTCAATGGCCGCTTGTTGCATCAGTCCTCCCACCTGTCGGCTTCATCAGTCAACCGGGTTTACCACTAGAAAGTTTCTGAGTTTTTGAGTTTCTGGTTGACCCAACGATACCTGTATTCACCCCAAACGGAAATGAGGGCGGCAAGGGCAAATCAGTGGCAGGGAAATTCCGTTTCCATGATGATGTCCTAAAAACCGTTTCAGAAAAGTGATTTATCATGGTAGAAAATCATTCACTTTTCTATCCTTTTGGGATCTTCTGGGGACCCCAAATACCTGGGAACTGCCACACACCCCAAAAATTGCCTCTGCATGGAAGCGTGGACGGCGTTGCCTCTGCTGGGGGCTCTGCCTCATCCACCAATGCCAAGGAACAAAAGATGTTGGCCACAAGAATGGGAATAACCAGCTGCTCCTAGGGGGGTCAAACTTGAAAACCCCACAAACAACAGATTGCCCAAAATATTGCCACTCTCTTAAAGTCTTAGTTCATCCGATGTTGGGACTGCCCGATCCTGACCCAAACCCAGTTCTGGCTCTGGATCCAGAACAGTGGAATGATATGAGTCGACAGGCCTGTCCAATGACTTTAAATGACTTCGAGGAACAGGGCCACAATGGCTTTAGCACCCTCCAGTCAGCCACGACTGGACACTGAATTGCACGGCAGAAATACATATATATATATATACAATACAAAAATAAAAATTATTCATCGTATAAACAGTATAAATATATATTATACACGAAAAAATATATATATATATCATTTTGCACAAAACATATATAATAATATATATACATACATAAATATGCAATATACATATATACACTATAAATATATATATACGCAATATACATATATATATATAATACACCTATAAATACAGTAGAGTATATCTTTAAATATATATATGTACAATATGTGTATATATATAAACACAATGTATGCATAAATGTAAATACAATAGAGATACGGGGTTCTTCAAAAAAAACAACCATCCTGTCAAACTCATTGCGAAGAAACTTGCATGCCCCCTTTCCCCCAATTCAATGTTGTTACTTCGCTTTGCTTGGAAACGCCTTCAAAAAAAAACAGCCATTTCGGTTCAGATGCCGGCATGCATTGGGCAACAACATTGATCAAGGGGGCGCGGGGGGATCAGGTGTGATGTGACAACATGTAGGAGGATGGTTGTTTTTTCAAGAAAGCGGTATTATTTACAATAATTATACATATATGTAGATATAGGAATATGATACAATATTTATATATATGTACACTATATATATGTACAATATATATATATACACCATATATATACGCAAAATATATATATATAACAATATATATATATAACAATATATGTATATATAACAATATATGTATATGTGTGTGTTATATACACTAAATAAATACATCTATATATATATAATACAATGTATACATATATGTATAAAGAATAAAATATTTATAGGTACAATATATACAAAATATTAAAAATATGTGGTTGTGATATAAACAAACTCTATATATATGGATACAATACAGCGATATATATATACAATTTGTATATGTATACGACGTATATACTTACTTATATATTTTTAAAAAAAAAAAAACTTGAAATATTTACAGTGCATATATGTGTATATTTAAATAAATATATATATATATGAATATGTAAATATATACTCTGAAAATATATATACACAATATTTCTATTTTTACTGATATATATTGATATGCTCTCTATATATATATACACACACTATATATAAATATATGCGCGGTATATATATATACAATACAAATATCCAAACTTCTGCAGTGTTGCAAACGGCCTGCAACCTCATCTCAGCCATAACTGACTTTTCAAAACTGAGGTCCTGGCACATCCGCCTGGGTGGAAGTCATATCCGGGGCTGGTGGTCCTTGCTGGCCAGTCGTGACCCACTTGATGCAGAAAACTTGGGAGAAACATGCAGAAAATCCCGTGGAATCAAAATCAGCTGGCGATTTTCTACTCTGTCCTGGTCCTCCCGGTCCAAATCAACTTGGAAGAACCGACTTCGGTGACTCCACTACAGCTGCCAAAAAGCTGAGACTGTCTGACATTGTCATGCTGTTGTTCAATTGTTTGCTTGCATCTTCATCATAATCCTAATCCCATGATTATGCGCCACCCACTCTCCAGTCACAGAAAAACCACCCCCTGGAATCCCTGGCCTCTTTTGGCCAGCCGTCGCCGGAAAAAAAACATCTTGAGAATACGGCAGCGGCCAAAGAAGAGGAACTTTCCAGGACCATCAACAACTGGTGCCCGACCCCCAAACATAAATAAATCCACCGCACAAAACGGGCTCTCCGGGCGGAGGTCTTTATAGGAGCATTCAGTTTCAACACTTGGATGCCCGGGACCCAGGTAGATACGATCCGTGGATTTTAAGCTATATGTAATCCATATCAAATATATATATAAATAATACAATATGCTATAAATATAACTACATGTACATGATATAAAACAATAAATGTATACAAATATATATATATAATTATATATATACATATATATGCTCAGCGCCGTTGAATGGACCTACCTTTTTCCCATCCTCGCAAAACATACATGAACATAGTATATCTGATCTAAGTGTCGGCCTTCATGATGACTTTCTAGCCACCAGGAACTGACACAGACTGCCTTGCCATTGATCTTCTACTGTTCCTGTTTATGAACCACATTGTTGAAACATACATGAACATAGTATGTCTCCAGCAAAAACTGCCCCGACGCTATGGACGGCATCCGCATGAATGATTGTGATTGAAGCATCAATACATATGAGAAAATATATACATTAATATTGTTAATAATTTACCCAAAAAAAAATAGTTATATTTATGAGTATCACTTTGGTATCATTCACTGATGTCTTGCGTCCAATCCTTGTCTATCTTCTCTACTGCGACTCCGGGGCGCGCGCACTTCTGGAGGAGTCAACGGTACCATATTCATAATATCAGGTGTCGGGGGTTGTGGACACGGAGGAGCGCGAGGACCAGGAGGAAGCAGACATAAGAGTTCTTGGCGCCAGTAGAGGAGAACGACTGCTATCTTCGCGGTTGGAGTGGTTAGGGCGCGTTCTCCTCATCGGATCACCTTACTGGACTTGTAGGCGAGCGTGTTTTCTATTTAGTCAGGGATACGTCAGAAAAAGTGCAGAATTATCAACAAATTAGTTGCGTGCAAACAAAAGACTCCCAAGAATCATCTTCGAATTCGTACTCGCACTCCTCCGATGGGGAAAGGTCCATGTCAGACACTTCAATGATCTCAGAAGCATCGTTTAGCCTGGGACAATATGGTTGTGTGTTTGTTCGTATGTGTGTCCACACAGTGGCGATATCTTACAACACAAAGAGAAAAAGTAACCTAGACAATAACCATTATTCATCACCAAGGAACTCACTATACCAGTCTTCCATTACACGCTCTGGTTTCGCCGCTGCCATGGGCGCTGGCTTCAAAGGCATAGCCTGGAAACTGATAGAACTACGCAAGGATCGCATTTGAAGTGCTGACTCTCGCGGTGAGTGATGTTGTGTATTCAGTGTATGTTTGTGTTTACATACTATACAATATAAAATTGTATATCATATAAGAAATCTTGAGTTTTTTATATTATATTACATTACTGTATTTCCATTAATTATATTGCATTACATTAATATTATTCTAAATAAATTATATTATATTGCATTACATCAATCAAAATAATTACTAGTTTATTTCATTTTATTAGATGTTATTTTAATTCATTATATTTCATTGTATTATGTTTTTTTATTCCCCGCATTTAACTATTTTATTTAATTCAATGTCTTCTAGCTTTGCTACTAGGATGGGTTGGGTTTACATTTGCAACAGACAATGGCAAGCAAACGCAGAATATTGTGAGCCTTGCGCGGGATAGTAAGGAAGGAAGATGACCTTGATGTTTCTGAGTTGAGTGGAAGGTGAGACAGAGGCAGAGTATTTTTTTTGTTTCAACCCCAATCTGGATTTGCAACTTTTCAAATAGTTGTTTTGAAGGAAAAAACTGTTCTTTGGTTCGAATCTAATTTAAACTTGCAGCTTTTCAGATAACCGTGAAGAATGGAATCGTAAGAGTGAGAACCGACGTGAAGAGAGCCAGGACTGATGATGATACTGTGAAGACTGCAGAGACAGAGTGAATGTAAGGGCAGAGCCATGTCATGTGGTATAATGTAGCACACACTGTGAATGACACCGTTTCAGAACAGAATATTTTGTGTTGGCAAGGATTTGCATTGTTTTGAAAAAAAAGAAGGCGTTTCCTCTATAAACAAAAATGACTGTGTTAAGTAATTTGACAAGATAGATAACCGATCAAGCTGAATGAACGCAATGGAATCACAACTGCAAAAAACAAACAATGAACAAGACTGCAATGCACATTTTCATTGCCATGAATCCTGTGACCAGATATTGGTGGAGAACTGAAACAAAGAACTGCTGCCCGGCAAGGGAGATCACAAGTCATTTCGAACAATTGCAGATTTATATATATATACATATCGTATCAGTTATCAGTTCTAGGAAGTTCTATAATATATTTAATTGAACCCCTCCACATTGGCTGCACATGGCATGTTGCTTGCTCGCCTCTCACTCACCACCCCACCACCAACGGAACGCCTCAGGCGAAAAGCCAAAAAAAACAAGATGAAGCCCACGAACCCGAATGCTCACACGTATGTTAATGGTACAGATGTCAAAACACATGGTTATGCAGTCGCGCACAATACCTTTCTGCAATAGTTTACTGGAACAGTCTTGTGCATGTTTCCCTTGTTACCAGTCTGCAGTGTGGAGTGGAAAGTGTAGAGTGTGGAGTGTGAAGTAAGGAGTGTGGAGTGTAAAGTGGAGTGGGGGGTGTAGAGTGTGTAAAGTGTAGAATGCGGAGTGTAAAGTGTAGAGTGTGGAGTATGGAGTGTAAAGTGTAGAGTGCGGAGTGTAGAGTGTGGAGTGTGGAGTGTAGTGTGGAGTGAGGAGTGTAAAGTGCAAAGTGTGGAGTGAGGAGTGTAAAGTGTGGAGTGTGGAGCGTAAAATGTAGAGTGTGGAGTCTGGCGTGGAAAGTGTAGAGTGTGGTGTGTAGAGTGTGGAGTGTGGAGTGTAAAGTGAGGAGTGTAAAGTGTGGAGTGTGGAGTGAGGAGTGTAAAGTATAAAGTGTGGAGTGTGGAGTGTACAGTAAAGTGTGGAGTGTGGACTGCGGAGTGTGGAGTGTAAAGTGTAGAGTGTGGAGTGTGGAGTGGAAAGTGTAGAGTGAGGAGTGTAAAGTGTGGAGTGTAAAGTGAGGAGTGTGGAGTGTGGAGTGGAAAGTGTGGAGTGTGAAGTGTGGAGTGTAAAGTAAGGAGTGTGTAGTGTAAAGTGTGGAGTGTGGAGTGTGGAGTGAAGAGTGCCAAATGTGGAGTGTGGAGTGTAAAGTGTGGAGTGTGGAGTGAGGAGTGTAAAGTGTAAAGTGTGGAGAGTAAAGTGTGAGTGTGGAGTGGAAAGTCTCAGGGGTGTGAGGAGTGTAAAGTGCAAAGTTTAAAGTGTGGAGTTTAAAGTGTACAGTGTGGAGTCTAAAGTGTAAATTGTGGAGTGCGGAGTGTAAAGTGTAGAGTGTAGAGTGCGGAGCTTCCCCCATAGACACAGTGACGCCACAGGAAAACCAGCGACTCGAGATAAGACATGTGGATGCAGAAAAACCAGCATTTCGTACGAGACTTCCTCCAATTTTCACATTTTCAACACATTATCAAACAAGTTTGGAATGTCACAAAGTGCCACGCCTGCCATGCAAAACGACATGACAACCTGCTTGGAAACATTCGAAAAGGACACGTTTTCCAGCTTCCCCCATAGACACGGCGACGCCACAGGAAAACCAGCGACTCGAGACAAGACACGTGGATGCAGAAAAACCAGCATTTCGTACGAGACTTCCTCCAATTTTCACAGTTGGCAACATGACAAAAGGACACGTTTTGCAGCTTCCCCCATAGACACGGCGAGGCCACGGGAAAACCAGACACACGAGACGAGACAGGTGGGAGCACCAAAACGAGCATTTCGTGCGAGACTTCCTCCAATTTTCACACTTTGTAGCTTCAAAATCGACGTTTTCCTACGAGTTTTCCTTAGAACCTGAAAATTTGCAACCTCAAAATCGATGTTTCGTGCGAGGCTTCCGTCAATTTGCAGCACATCGCACAAAATGCCACGACTGCCACGGAATTTGCACCTTGTCGCCACTTGACGCAACCCTGCCAATGCGATTTACGAAAAACACGCAACAGGACGCGTCTAAAGTGCTGCGCCTGCCACGAAAAATGACGATCCAAAGTGCTGCGCCTGCCACGAAAACTGCAACACATCTTCTGAAAACGTCGCAAAAGTATTGCGCCTGCCACGCAAAACGACTTGCGACACGTTGCAGAACACGTCTGAATGTCACGAAGTGCCACACCTGCCACGCGAAACGAAGCAGCCAGACGTCTGAAACCTCCAAAAAGGACCACCTCTGTAAAACTTCCCATAGGCACGGCCATACGGTCCTCACGCGAACGGTTGCGAACGGTTGCGAACGGTTGCGCTCGCGAACGCAACGTCGAGCGAACACACCCTCAACCCCCAGACCCCCAGAGTGAAACGGGAACCCTTGCTACGCATTCGGGAAAAACTTTGATTTTTTTTTTTGGAGACTCTTTGGGAAGGGCCCCATAGAGAAAACCAAAAAAACTTTGGAAAAAAAAAACCAAAAACTTGGAAAAACAACAAGAAAAAAACAGAAGTCTTGGGGATGGGGAAGGGTAAGCCAAGAGTCTCAGAATATTGGTGTTTTTTTTTGGTTTTCCATTTTTGGTTGGTTTTCTCCATGGGGCCCTCCCCAAAGACTCTTCAAATATGTTTTTTTGTTTCTCCAATCTTTTTTTGGTTTCTCCATGGGGCCCTCCCCAAAGACTCTTCAAACATTTTTTGTGTTTTTCCATGTTTTTTTTCTCCATGGGGCCCTCCCCAAAGACTCTTCAAATATCTATTTGTTGCGTTTTTTTTCCAATGTTTATTTTGGTTTTCTCCATGGTGCCCTCCCCAAAGAATCTCAAAATATTTTTTTTTCCAGCCTAAGGGCCTTCCCAAAGGACAGATGGTTGCCATGACAATGAATGTCTTGAAGCGGAGGCCAAAATTTGGCCTTTTTGTTTGGAGTGCATATTATTGTGATTATATTTTAATATACTTATTGCTTATTTTTCCATTGTATTTGCATAGTTTCTGACATATGTATATATTAGCATATCTAAACATTAGAATAGCAATATCCCTCAATGGACCTTGGGGTAGGTCCATTTCAGGGCGGTGACGATATATATATATATATATATGTATATATATATATATGCTTAATTATTATTATTATACTATCTATATTTATATATTACTACTATATTATATATATATATATTATTGTACATATATGTATATATAAAACCCATATGTACCTGGTGTATTTCATATGGTGATTCCCCACTGAACCTCTGCCTGGGACCCCACCAAGGCACCTGAAGGGTCGGTGGTAGCTTCTTCTGCCAGCAGATGGCTGATCCTTGGACCACAGAGGGACTACCAGCTGTCAAAAATGGTCAGTTACAGGAGTTGAAATGACTTCTGAGTTGGCTCTGCAGTGATCAGTTGGTTGAAAAGGATTTAGAATTCTGTTCTGAATGGGCTGGGAAAGCGCTAAAGCCAGGCCTTGCATGTTGCAACTTCTCTCTAAATGGACTTTTGAGGAGTCACAATTTGTTTTATCAATAGGGCATAATATCACATGAGCTGGATTCGAAACCCCCTGTGGTCCTTTTGTACTGGCTAGTTAAGAACGGATTTCCCAGTTCATGGACTGTGATCATCCCCAATATATCCAATACACATACCAATATGTATGTGTATATATATATATGTATATTGGATAGATTTAGATAGTACAACCCCAACAGAATTGCATCAGCCAACAGGGATAGATCGCGAATTTATGGATCCCATCTTGAGCTGAGGATCGCTTCTCTGTCTGGCGGTGATCTCGGACCTGGCGGAAGAACAACGGAGACCCCCCCCCATGCGGCAGTTTGTCTGTGATATACTCTGTGTTTCCTTAAGGACATAATTTATGTATTATATCTATACATACATATGCATTATATATTATCATATTATCTATGTACAATATCAAAAACGTTTTTGACCATGACACATTTGAAATCACCTGCCAAGAATACAAAGATACGGGGGCCCAGACCTGCCAGCAGATCTTTGGCTGAGGTCCAAAAGGGCGAGTCGCAGCCGTCTTCCCAATCCAACCTCAGCGGATGACCGAAAAATCGACGGTTGAAACATGTTGAAACCATGGCTGCCATGGCTTGTTCCTATGGAAAATCTTCAAAAAAAATTGATAATCCTCTGAAAATGGATGAAAATGGATATCTATGGAATCACCCGCATGACAAATTCATTTCGATGGGAACATCATTAGAGGAAAAAAAACTTTGATTCTTTTGACCATCCAGATATAGAGATGGTTTCTGTTTGAAAGCCATTTGAAAGGTTTTTTCCTGCCAGGCTAGGCGGAGAAAATGAAAGAATGTGAAGAACAAATTCACAGCCCAAAATCTGCCAAAACATCTCCTGTTCCACTGGGCTTCTCCAGCACGTCTGCCTGGGTGAGGCTGAACAGTAGGAGCACCTGCAGGCACTTCCAGGTAACTCCATGGTGTTTCACCGATCCCTTCGCCTTCGCCCCACCTCCGGTGCTTCTTGCCTGTCTGAATTGACTCATTATGGTTTGCTGAGTTTGCTGGGGTACCCAAAAAATCCCATGCCAAAACTCATCCTTTTCCTCACCTGCCACGCCGTCCGCGGCCGCCTCATGGGCCGTTTCGTGGGAACGGACGCACGGCCGCCGCGCCATGTCGGTGTTTGGAAACTGATGGGGTGATTCCATGTGATTCCCCCAAGAGGGGTGGGGTGCAGATCTGGGGGCACAGGACGAATTGTATGGGGACAAGAATCATCAGAAATTGTCAGAAATTATGCTGGTGTTGAGGACCTTGGTTGATTCTGTGCATCAAGGTTTCTTTTTTGTGGCCCGACGCCTGCTGAATGTGCACAGGGTTGGTAGATGCGCACGGATGGACATGAGCCAGACTTCTGTAGCTGACCTGCTTGGTTCAGCAAACTCGGTGTCTCAAATACTTACTTGGAGTGCATACCGTTGCATACTGACTTTCCACCAGATTCACATAGATTCACACCCTTTCCATCACCCCCCTTCCCCTTTCTCCCCTGTTCTCCCCTGTTCTCCCCTGTTCTCCCCTGTTCTCCCCTGTTCTCCCCTGTTCTCCCCTGTTCTCCCCTGTCCTCACGAAGCCTCTTCTCCCTCTCAGCAATGGCCCGCTGCTGCTTCTGCCGAGTGATCTGGCGGGTCAATTTGTGAATCATCCAAATGGCTTGAAAGACTTACTGCCACTGGTTCTCACTTTTGTAGCATACCGTTCGAACAACCTACGTGTCACCAGCAGAGAGCCATCACCCCACGCCTGGGGCGAGGAAGTGAAGGAGGTCGTCACCTTATTCAATGCTTGAACGTATTGTATCACTTCGTGAGACCTGGGCAACTGGCACACTGTTCAAACTCCAAAACAATCTTATCAAATCAAATGCACCGCATCATCAAGACTCCACCCTGTAGTTTGCTTGGCATGTTGCCATTCATCCCTTCACCATTAGGAGAGACTTCCAGAAACCAGAAACCCTGCTTTCGTACTGGACCTATTCATTTGGGCTCCAAGTCAAATCAGTAGGATCATGTCCAAATCGCGATTCATATCTGTTGATTCTGTTGATACTAGTTGCTTTTCCTCGACTCCCTATGGCTTATCATAATTTCCAAAAATTAATATAAATAATTAGGCGGTTCTTACTGAGCCATTACTATATCCGCCGACCCCGGCCTTCGCCAAGGCAGGGGCGGCGCCTGGGACCACCGCAGGTGTGGAGCCTGTTTTTGTTGGCTTGCCACTACCTTGCCTTCCGCCAGGCACTCAGGCCACCGCCCTCTGTTGTTAAGGGCGTTTGCCACCTAAAACGCTGCGCGGCAGCTTCGGGCAGGCACTCCCGCCACTGCCCTCTGTTGCTAAGGGCGTTCAAGCCTGCCGTTTGCCAGGCCTCAAATGCCTAAAACGCTGCGCGGCAGCTTCGAGCAGGCTCAAACGCGCGCGGCAGCTTCGAGCAGGCACTCAGGCCACTGCCCTCTGTTGTTAAGGGCGTTTGCCGTTTGCCAGGCCTCAAATGCCTAAAACGCTGCGTGGCAGCTTCGAGCAGGCACTCAGGCCACTGCCCTATGTTGTTAAGGGCGTTCAAGCCTGCCGTTTGCCAGGCCTCAAATGCCTCAAACGCTGCGCGGCAGCTTCGAGCAGGCATTCCGGCCACTGCCCTCTGTTGTTAATGCCTAAAACGCTGCGCGGCCGCTTCGAGCAGGCACTCAGGCCACTGCCCTCTGTTGTTAAGGGCGTTCAAGCCTGCCGTTTGCCAGACCTCAAAACGCTGCGCGGCAGCTTCGAGCAGGCACTCAGGCCACTGCCCTCTGTTGTTAAGGGCGTTCAAGCCTGCCGTTTGCCAGGCCTCAAATGCCTCAAACGCTGCGCGGCAGCTTCGAGCAGGCACTCAGGCCACTGCCCTGTTTTGTTAAGGACGTTCAAGCCTGCCGTTTGCCAGGCCACTGCCCTCTGTTGTTAAGGACGTTCAAGCCTGCCGTTTGCCAGGCCTCAAATGCCTCAAACGCTGCGCGGCAGCTTCGAGCAGGCACTCAGGCCACTGCCCTCTGTTGTTAAGGGCGTTCAAGCCTGCCGCTTGCCAGGCCTCAAATGCCTCAAACGCTGCGCGGCAGCTTCGAGCAGGCACTCAGGCCACTGCCCTCTGTTGTTAAGGGCGTTCAAGCGTGCCGTTTGCCAGGCCTCAAATGCCTCAAACGCTGCGCGGCAGCTTCGAGCAGGCACTCAGGCCACTGCCCTCTGTTGTTAAGGGCGTTCAAGCCTGCCGTTTGCCAGGCCTCAAATGCCTCAAACGCTGCGCGGCAGCTTCGAGCAGGCACTCTCAGGCCACTGCCCTCTGTTGTTAAGGGCGTTCAAGCCTGCCGTTTGCCAGGCCTCAAATGCCTCAAACGCTGCGCGGCAGCTTCGAGCAGGCACTCAGGCCACTGCCCTCTGTTGTTAAGGGCGTTCAAGCCTGCCGTTTGCCAGGCCTCAAATGCCTCAAACGCTGCGCGGCAGCTTCGAGCAGGCACTCAGTCCACTGCCCTCTGTTGTTAAGGGCGTTCAAGCCTGCCGTTTGCCAGGCCTCAAATGCCTCAAACGCTGTGCGGCAGCTTCGAGCAGGCACTCCGGCCACTGCCCTGTGTTGTTAAGGGCGTTCAAGCATGCCGTTTGCCAGGCCTCAAATGCCTCAAACGCTGCGCGGCAGCTTCGAGCAGGCACTCAGGCCACTGCCCTCTGTTGTTAAGCGCGTTCACGCCTGGGACATGGCTCAACGCCCGGCTGTGGCCCCAAATTCTGCGGAGCTTTGTGCTACATGATTCCATCGATTGGTTTAGGTGTGAAAATCTCAGCCGGAAACCATATAAGCATATTATAACATCATATGTATGTATGTATGTATGTATGTATGTATATATATATATGTATATATATATCCGCACCCTTGAAAGGGGGTCGGCAGCACCAGGGCGTTAGCCCATTCTATCAGCCATTCTTAATCTGATCTTATTGTTTTATAGTGGCTGATAATACTGGAGGGGCCAGGGATCCCTCTGGGTGAATCAACTCCGCGCGCTGCACCGCTCCTTGACAGGAGCCCAGTCTTCTTGCAGCCTGGAATCACTTTGCGAAACGGCGTTGTCTGAAAATTTGGAAGTAGATCATGGTTTCTATATCAGAATCAGCACCCAAAAGGTCAAAATTCCAATGGTTATCCATGGGATTTTCATGGTTTGTCAGAATTGTCCCCATGTCCCCATTGAAATGGCAAAAAATGTGTAAAAACGCCTCTGCAGAAATTCAGTTGGATGATCAAGAATGAGGATGCAACTGATGCAACTATATCGAACTCAAAATGGTTGACAGGGAAATGGTTGACAGGGAATGTGTCAAACTGTCAGACTGTCAGAGCGGTGTGGTTGGGTAAGCCCCACTAAGAAGTCACCAAGGCTCCCAAGTTTCACAGCACTGGATTCACATGTGGGACCCGAAAAACAGTTACCCAAAATCTGCGTGTGGCTTTCGGATTTGCAGCCTGGGATCTTCTTGGACAAGTCGTAAGCAATTCGTTGCATCTGCCTCGGGCCCCAAGGTTCAACAAAGGGGATTTGAAGCAACACATCCCCAAGGTCGATCGCCAAGTTGACATAACTAGAGTATTCATGGCTCTTTAATAACCTGGGGATAAAACTATGGTTAAATATAATAATAAACATACTTAAAAATAATAAGAATAATAAGAATAATAATAATAATAAGTGTTAAATATACTTAATGACCAGAGTTAAATATAGAGTTAATAACCATAGTCAAATATAGAGTTAATAACTACAAGTTATAATGACCAACTGAATTCAAAACTTAATTATAACTTGGGGGCCTCACGTTGTGATGCCTTGCACCGCCGCCGCCTTGGTGTCCGACATCCGAGAGGAAAATCATTGAAGTCACAAAAAATATGAAGAAAAAAAAATCGTGCAAAATCCTAACATTGGAAAAAAAAAAACGGAAAAATCCTGATAGAAAAATGGCAAAATCCTCAAAAATGTTGTTCTGATGTTGTTCTGCAACCTCATAACCTCTTTATTTTTGTTAATCATGCAGTTTAGGGTTTATCCAAGGCATGTTTTGGAGGGCTCCAGCTCCTGCTGCCCACTGAGCTGGTCTGGCCCCCAACTTGGCTTTCACCTCAGCAGGTTTTCTAAAGTAAAACCCCCCAAAAAAAAGATCGAAAAGAACATACTAAACACTAAACTAGGTGGTAAATTACTTTTGGATCTTTTTGCGGGTTAGTATACAGTCAAAATCATCAAAATCCGGGATCCCTGTCAATTTCCCAACCAATTCTGGGCAACTTTGCAAAAAGTGAAGCAAAGTTGCATACCAATGCCAATTTTTTGTCTACAAATCCAGAGAAGCCTCAGACCTTTGGAGTTTCACCTCAGTTCACAGAGCCGGCCTCATGAGCTTCTGCCAGCTCAATGCTCAGCCTGGACAGTTCATTTTTTGGACATCCCCTGTTGGAGAAAGAGGCATAGCTACCCATCTTTCTGTACAGATATTATGTGTGTCTAGTGTGTATAGATATATATATATATATATAGATATAGATATAGATACAGATATCGATATAGACATAGATATCTATATGTGGGTTTTCTGTCAGAACGGTAATCTTCCGGAACTCAGCCCAGCCTCCCATGTTGCGATGACGCCCGGCGAGCGAAGATGGCCAAGACCGTGCGGTAACGATCGAAAACCGCCACACTGGCCGTGGGCTGACACCAGTGGACCATGGATGTCGTATGGGATTTATAACAACCAAACAATGGGAAACCCATGGGATTCACCATAGTCTAGGTCGGTTGATGATATAGATATTGGTAACCATACGTGTAAATAGTTACAGTCCGTTCATGTGTTTTTATATATATATATTGAAAAAATGATAATAATAATAATAAGAAGAAGAAGAAGAATAAATAAAAAACAATAATGATGACAATGATAATGATAATGATAATGATAATGATAATAAATGTAATAATGGGATATTGGCAATGATATTGGGGTTAATAATGGGAATATAGAGGTTTCTTAAAATCTGAAATCCGCAAGTCACTGACCTGGATGATTTGCGGGTAGCCCCGTGGATTGGAAACCTCCACGCGTCCTAAACCCCAACAATGAATGCTATTGAATCAAGTCCATTTTGTCAATCCAACAAACATTCAGTCTTGTCATCCATGAGAATCATTGAGGGTCAGGATGAGGATTTTTTTTGAACTTATTCAGGTGCAGTCTGGTTGCAAATGTTTGTTGATTCTCTGGTTGGTGTTCGCTAGGAACTTAATATCATCGTCGAGCCATAAGGTCCAGGCAAAAACCGCACGTTTCAGGAATCAAATTTTATGTTCGTTCATAACTAGTTTGTCTTTCCATCATCGGGATACTCATGATTCATACATTAAAATATCGTAATATTATAATGTATATATCTATCTATCTTTTATTTTTTCAGACATGCTTTCTCTTTGGGGAGTCACCCCACCCCCAATACAAACCGGCCCCACCTGCTCTGGTTGGCATCGCTCCCCTCCTTGGCGTCCTTCCCTATCCGGCGGCGTTGCGCACGCCACGCCAACTCCATCGCCACCTGCCATGGGCCATATGGCCACTGGATCATGGATTTCGGAAATTTGATAGGCAAACCATGGCAAACCCATGGCTTTCACATGTGTCTTCAGTGCATGGGCGGGTTTCCCTCAGAATGTGGAAAGGACCCAAAATCATCAGTGGCTGCAAGCTAGCAGGACAAGGGCGGCCTTAGTAGTGAAAGCACGGTGTTCATTCAAGGTGGTCTCTGGAGGAAGAGATAGCAAGTAAGATTCTGCAAGCTCCCTTTGCGAAGATCTCTGTAGCAGATCGTGCGCAAGATTTCCTTGACAGGTTCTCTGTAGAAGCTGCTGTGCAAGATCCCTGTGTAAGGCTATCTGTACAAGGTGTCTAAGGAGATCACAAAAGATCTTTGTAAGGGATCCCAAAGTAAGATCTCTGTTCAAACTATCTGTGCATGAACTCTGGGTAAGACCTCTGCTCTCTTCACCAGCTCTCTGGACAAGATCTGTATAAGAGGTCTCCTGGCGATCTCTGTAAGAGACCTTTTGACAAGATCTCTGCACAGATCTCCATAAGAGGTCTCTTGGCAAGACCTCTGGACAAGATCTCTATAAGATATCTCTTGGTAATATCTCTTTATGAGATCTCTGTACGAGCTCTCTCTAAGAGCTCTCTTGGCAAGATTTATGTAAGAGACCTCTTGGCAAGATCTCTGCAATAGATCTCTACGCAATGTCTCCGTACAAGATCTCTAAAGGAGGTCTCTTGGCAAGACTCTTGAAGAGAACTCTGTACAAGCTCTTTATAAGAGCTCTTTTGCCAAGATCTCTGTAAGAGACCTCTTGGCAAGATCTCTGTACAAGATCTCTAAACGAGCTCTTTGTACAAGATCTCTGCGCAAGCTCTCTATAAGAGACCTCCTTTGCAAGATCTCTGCACAAGATCTCCTTGACTATCAAAGAGACCAGCACCGTGCCACAACGAGAGCGATCTGACAGGCCCAAAGTGCCGAGAGGGTTGCACGAGCAACGTCAAAATTCCTACTGCGCCACAGCAAGAGCGATCTCACAGGCCCAAACTACGTGCCACAACGAGAGCGATCCGATGCGCACAAAGTAACGAAACGCTTGCGCCAGCGATCTCACAATTCGCACCGCGCCACAACGAGAGCGATCCGATGCGTACAAAGTGACGAAAAGGTTGCGCAAGCGATCTCACAATGCGCGCCGCGCCACAACGAGAGCGATCCGATGCGCACAAAGTGACGAGAGGGTTGCACGAGCACGTGTTAGATTTTCACAAAACATTGCGCCCACCACGAAACATGAACATTGAAAAAGTCAAAAACGACCTTTTACCTCGGTCTCAGCCACTTTTTTCGAGGTCTACAAAGTATTGCGCCTGCAACAAAAAATGAGCCCGAGACATCCGAAGTCCTGCGTCTGTCACACAAACTCATCATCATGTCCCAAATCAAATTCGAAGACAATTTCGCAAAACGCGATTTCGACCCTTTCAAGACGTCGTCCAAATTCACCGAATACTGCGCCTGCCACACGAAATGACCTCCAAGAGCACCTCTCATTTTGACCCGCGCCTGCCAACGTTTTAGCAATGCGCAGAAAGTGCCATGCCTGCCACGCGAAATGGACATAGCTCAAAAACGAACACAGCGTGCTAGTAAAACGAGACCTTCGGAAGAGAGGTCTCCGCGACACCAGTTTGTGCGAGCCTGCGCAGCCGAAATACACATGGACATGTCACAGAGCCATTTCATGCAGAAATTTACAATTAAAATGCCGCCCGCGCCGGATACCAACTTGACTGAACACCGGGCCCTAAGTCTTACCGTAAGAACCCCAAGCATGGCCGCACTGCTTGGGGAAAAGCCAAAAAAAATGAGTTGCTTTTTGCTCTCTCGCTAATGGTCTGTGGATGACGCTGTGGTCGAACGTGCCCAGCGGCACAAGCCGGGGCTAGTGTGCTGACAAAAGCCAGCCTCATCCAGCTTCAAATTTCGGAAAGGCATTGCTGCCTTTTCACTTCTTGATGGTGCCCTTCAGCTCCACAGTCCCCTCATCAATGCCGTACTTCTTGATGACCTTGCGGTCATGGAGCATGTCGAACTCTTCAGTGGCGTCCTTGCCGGCAAACATCATGATGGACTTCTTCCCGCCAGGGTGCTCACCTTGCAACGAATCAACACTCACTCACAATATTCACCCTGTTAATTCATCTCAGAGTTATCAGTAGGCCACCTGCGTGCAAAGTCTGCAAAAAGTGTAAGACCCCAAGACAAATAAAGCTTAAATAAATTACATCTCAAGGAAAATATCCGCCCACACCCCAGGTGCCGAGGCGTGGCAGTTTAGCAGCGAATGTGGTAGTTTGCACATTTTGCAGATCGACCCAAAACTGTCCAAATGGACCGCTTCGATCCAACATGGCCGCAGGAATTGATTTGGATTTGCCATGCTCAGATGGCTTCAATTTGGAGTCCATCTGGATCGCTTCCAACTTCAGCCCAACATGGCTCCAGTTGGGTCCAAGACAGCACCACTTGGGCTCAGGCTGCAGCCGGGGGGTAGTTGTGCCCAACCCGAGCCAATTTTGCGGACTCAATGCGACACACTGAAAACATGCATTTTTACTGCTATTTCCAATGTTTTTTGCCCACAGTGGGCTTGTCTTGGGCCCAACTTCGGCGCCAGATGCCCCCACACAGGACCAAGTTGCGCATGCTAAGCCCAACTTGCGCCCAAACGTGCCCAAGCTGCGCCATGTTGGACCCCAGTTGGGCTCAAGTCGGGCCCAAGTTGGAGCCAACTGGCCCGAGTTCGGGCCCAAGTTGGGCGCAAGTGAGCTCCTGTTTGGCCCGACTTAAGGCCAAGGACGGCCAAGTTTGCCCCCAGTCGGCTCTTGGTTGGGCCTAGGCCGGCTTTTTTTCCTCTCTGTCCTATTCTCTGGGTGCGGGCGGTTCTCGTCGCGAAGCGACTCGAATACGCTGGTGTCTAAGATCAAGCTGGCAACGCCGCACATGCCCTGACGAATGCTAGGTTGCTACAATGAAACTATCCTGGCGACATGTACCTCACCATCCGAGCGGCTGAGGAAGTTGGTGACGTCAAGCACTTGGTCTCCCACAATGACCCAGCAATCCTTGTCGGTGTTGTGCTTGGCAACTTCTTCAGCGCTGACCGACATGGTCAAAAGAGCTGACGGTAGCTGACGCAAGAGGACACAAACACGATTGAGATGTCGAAGGGCTTGAGCCAAAATGAAAAAAGAAAAAAGATTGATGTTCTATGATGGGCTTGGGAAACTCTGATTCTAGCTCCAGGATCTCCAGGCTTTTCCGCCTTTTTTTAGATACGACCATAGCTCCTAACAGCTCCCTCCTACCCACCAAATGCTCTGCTGGGACATCCTCAGTTTTCGTAAGTAAACGTCAATCACAAAGCATGAGGGATTTTCCAACAAGTCTGCCACGGGGTACCCAAAACCTTACTTTTTGAGGCCAAGCATACCAACCCCAGATGGTCTTGCATGTTGCCATGTCACATTTGGGCGCCTCCAAATGCCTCTGCTGCACCGGAGAAAGCGCAGCATTCACCTCGCACACCAGCTGATTTCTCGGGAGTGAAAATAGATATGCTGGGAATTCTCTGGGACATTCCCCACATCTTCAAATCACAGCAACTCAAGTCGAATCTAGGAATCCATCAACTTTCCAAGTCAGTATCTTTCGCCCCGACATTGGTCTGTGGCCCTTAGCTTCCCAACGAACAGAAGGTCCGCTTGGCATTTCGCCACCAGCACAGCCACCCTCGAGAGCTCCTAAAAACTGTAGCAATGCTTCGGGGGGGTTGGGATATGGTGATTTAAGGTCAAGCCCCTGGTCCCTTACCCAAAAAAAAATCTTTTAGATAGGTGGTTAACGGTTAATGGATGTTTATACCACAGCATCATACAATACCTCTCTGGACTCTGGTTCGAAAAACCATTTAATGTAACCATGTCTGAAGAGATTTTGCATCTGTTGTGGAAAGTTGCAGCATCCTTGATGTAGAAGTAGAACTTGGGATCGATCCTCTCCATACGTGCCTCTTGGGGAGCTGAGATCTTGCGCAATCCCGTCATTCCATGGATCGAGGTGAATCATTGGGATGCCGGGATGCCTGAACTGGGCTAAGGCGCCGACGATGTACGCCTGCCAGGAAGGCTGGTAGCAACATGCAAGACATGAAAGTTGAAAATCCACTAGATATTAACAAGGAAGAAAATCAAAACAACTTCCCTCGTTTCCATGGTTAGTGGGACAAAGCGACTAGACCAGTGACCTACATTCGTTTGTCAAGAGCCTCCATCCTAAGCTTGAAACCGCTAAAAAGTAGCAAGAATAACAATGCGCAACATGAGGCCTTTGAAACTCCACCTTCAATTTTGGACTTCCAAAACTGCCTCCAGTTATATATTTCAAGCATTTTTTTTACCCAGCCCACCAAGCCATCAGCAACCTCGACTTCCTCATCCTCAGATGTATCAGAGTCATCTTCTTCCTCGCCATTCTACACTGATGCTGCAAATCCCTGTCATCAGCGAGAATACTTTGCTGGTGGCTCAAGGGGCCATATTTTCACCAACGTTTCGGGACCAAAAGTCGCCAAGATGGCCAACATTCAACAACTCATGGTTTACCAGCTTAATTTCAAAACGGTGTGATACCAGTACCAGTTTTTTGAGAGGAGTCTTACCTTCTCTATAAAAAAAAAAAAAAACATGGAAAAGCATGCCATTCAACGATATTTGTTCATGTTCCAAAAGTGTTAAAGACTAGTCAGTTCTGTTGTTTTTTCTATTATTCCCACATATTCCCACGGAGAAATTACAGGAGGTCATGTGAAATCAGTCCTCTGCCTCTGCTTCATCCTCCTCGCTGTCCTCGCTCTCATCTGACCGGCCTGAAGCTGATTCAAGGTGACCAGACATTTCCACGCAGCTCAGAAGGTCTGCTAAGCCTTTCATTCAACATGGGATCTTCACAGGTATGGCCCTGAACAGTTATAAATGGAATCATAACTCCTATAACTAAGGTATATCTCCATTATATAATTATATAATTATATAAGTATATAATTATATATATATATTATACGTATAATATATCATTAAAAACCCATTTAGAACTCTTTATTGGGCCACTGCAGCACCATCCCCCGCACCATCCCCCCGAACCTGGCACAACGCTCACGGCACCATGCGGTTTCACAGTGTGCCATCCAGCAGCCCGAGCCAAAGCCACCGCCTGGGGAATAGCCGTGCATATTGCGGAGATTTACCTTTTAATACTTATACTTATACTCTTATAATACTTTTATAATACTTATATAATATCTCATATACAGAAGTTGTGGCTTTCGCGACTTTTCCGTTGAAACTTTCGGATCTCCGTGGTCTGACCGTGCCTCGGAGGCATCCCAGGGGACCAACTTCTCTTTCTCCCCTGGCAACCTGGGGAATCCGATGCGATGGCGTTCAGAAACGCACAAAAAAGTGGCTGAAACTAGGAACCCGGCGCATAGACGGCCGTGGCTCAAAATGAAGAATGAGTATCATCCAGTTTGATTTTCTGCACGTTTGTAAGGGGATTTCTCAAGTTTCAGGTGTATACACTTTTTGTGGCTGAATTCCATTGGAAAGTTAGCAAAATGGCGTTTTCGCCTCAGCGAAACGATCATTTTAATGTTTTTTTGAAATGACGTAACTACTTTGTCTATGCCAGGATTTGCTTCTTTTTTTCCTCATCTGACAGCATCAATCCTGCGGCAGGAGGTCTTCCAAGTGTTCCAAAAATTCGCAGCAGCGTAGCAGCAGCGTAGCATCCACGTATGTAGGCAAGGTACATGAACGTTAATATCCCCCCCACCCCACCCATGCCCAGTGACGTAGCAGCAGCGTAGCATCCATGTATGTAGGCAAGGTACATGAACGTTAATATCCCCCCCACCCCACCCATGCCCAGTGACGTAGCAGCAGCGTAGCATCCACGTATGTAGGCAAGGTACATGAACGTTACTATCCCCCCCCACCCCACCCATGCCCAGTGACGTAGCAGCAGCGTAGCATCCACGTATGTAGGCAAGGTACATGAACGTTAATATCCCCCCCCCCCCACCCATGCCCAGTGACGTAGCAGCAGCGTAGCATCCACGTATGTAGGCAAGGTACATGAACGTTAATATCCCCCCCCACCCCACCCATGCCCAGTGACGTAGCAGCAGCGTAGCATCCACGTATGTAGGCAAGGTACATGAACGTTAATATCCCCCCCACCCCACCCATGCCCAGTGACGTAGCAGCAGCGTAGCATCCACGTATGTAGGCAAGGTACATGAACGTTAATATCCCCCCCCCACCCCACCCAACCCCGTTTTGCTAAAATATGTATTTCGGTCCACGGCCGTCTATGCGCCGGGTACCAACTACGATTGGGCTTATGGATGTTTATGCTTTTTTTATAACGAACTAGTTTTGGGGTTAATCCATGGTTTATAAACCAACTTAAACTTAGAAGTGGGTGGGCCCATCCTGTATCCCCTGGGGAAAATTCTGAGTTCCAATGATCTATCAGAATCTATATCCGGTGGCTTAACTTGTTTTGTCCATGATCATACAATGATCTATGAGAATCTATCAATGATCTATCATTTTTGCCCACCATTTTCGGGTATCCCCCAATTTTGGACAAGCCCACAGCATGCTTTCGAAACGCTGTGGGTCTGGATCTGGGGAATGTCGGAACTGAAAGATGTCGACCAAATGTCCGCTATCACCAACTACAGTAAGATGAAAAGAGCATGCTACATCCGAATTACACTCGCACTGATTTGTGATACGCGTAGAATTTCAGAATCTCGTCTCCATACTTTTTCAAATGCTTGCTCCTAGAGAGTATCGTCTGCTCCAGTCCCAAAATCCCAATGACATGACCCATCTGTGGGTCCAATGGCTGGCACTGGCCTGGGGTGAACCACAAGCGCACGACAGGTCTGGCCATCTGCTCGCGTCCAACCTCGAATGCTTCGATTTACTGTGAGATACGACGTGTTTCTTTGTGCGACCGTGCAACCGTGCGACCGTTGCCCACTTCCCTTTGCAGTTTTGAATGGATTGCAGGATACATTCTGAATCCTTGTTCGAAGCTTGAAGGAAGTCATCTTCAAAAGCAGAAACCTGGGGAACCCAATCGAGGCCCAACCTCTGGGAAAGTTCCGAGAAATTCATACAAATGAAACAAAGACCTCTGAGACTCTAAGCACCCTAGGTTCAGCACTCCCAAATCTCCTTGCTGCACCTCAGGTAATCGTTACCCTGATGCCATTTCCGCTACCTTCGCCAGCACCACCAGTTGTTTTCATCCTGTCAATTCCTTTGCCAAGACCCAAAATGGATCAAAAGGATTTAAAGCTGTTTGAGTCGATGAAATCATGGTGGGCACAAACTTGACCGTCACCATCTTAGTGCCTGGCACTGAGCGCCCCTGCACGCGTGTGCCATCAAGTTGCAGAGGAAAAAACATCACAGTTCGAGTGATCCCCACCAACTGGCATCTTTATCTGGCATCTTTATCTTGCTGCATAAGTTCCGCCACTCTGTCGGACACTCTATGAGGCATATTTTCCGACATGTTATCTGACATGTTATCTGGCATACAGTCTGACATCTTATCTGACGTTACCTGGCATATATTCTGACATTTTATGTGACATTGTATCTGGCATAGGTTCTAACGTTTTATGTTACATTTTATCTGGCTTTCACATTTTTTCTGACATATATTCTTGCACTTTATCTGACATTCTTTCTGGCATATTTATCTGGCAATCTGACCATCTATGACCCCTTTTTTGACTTTATCTGCCCTCGATCTGAGATCTATTCCGGCGAGGCCCAAAGATTACCCTCACCTGGCATTTTTTGACATCCTGAAAATGTGCAAACCCTATCACATCCCGAAGAAAAGAATGCTATCAATTTCTGTTGTCAGGGAGAATAGAGGGCTATCTCCAAATCAAACCAACATACAAACAAAGCTCACCCATCTTCTTATGTCTCCGATGTTCAGGCACCAAGGTTGAGTACATGCTGCGTTCAAAGGCACGCACACCGTAGAATGCCAGCTGCAAAATCTCGAAAGACTTGCACTTTAACAATTTGCTGCGAGGATCATCAGACAAACTCCACTGGTTCTAGAGAATGCTGTCACTGGCGCAGCCAATCACTCACGCTTCACCAAGAAGCATCTTGCAACATATCATGAAACAACAAATGTTATGCGTCAAACTTTCAGCAGAGTGAAAGTACGCTCAGGCTCTTCATTCTACCGTCAAATGATCGCTCGGGAACTCTTTTTAGATCTTGACACCGCTGCAACCAGACAGCATCTTGCTTGCTCGAACGACGGCTGTGACTGTTCAGGCACCAAGGTTGAGTACATGCTGCGTTCAAAGGCACGCACACCGTAGAATGCCAGCTGCAAAATCTCGAAAGACTTGCACTTTAACAATTTGCTGCGAGGATCATCAGACAAACTCCACTGGTTCTAGAGAATGCTGTCACTGGCGCAGCCAATCACTCACGCTTCACCAAGAAGCATCTTGCAACATCTCATGAAATACAACAGCAAATGTTATGCTTCAAACCAACATCAGCAAAGTGAAAGTACGCTCAGGCTCTTCATTCTATCGTCAAATGATCTCTCACGAACTCTAGATCTTGACAACGCTGCAAGCAGACAGCATCTTGCTTGCTCGAACGACGGCTGTGACTGTTCAGGCACCAAGGTTGAGTACATGCTGCGTTCAAAGGCACGCACACCGTAGAATGCCAGCTGCAAAATCTCGAAAGACTTGCACTTTAACAATTTGCTGCGAGGATCATCAGACAAACTCCACTGGTTCTAGAGAATGCTGTCACTGGCGCAGCCAATCACTCACGCTTCACCAAGAAGCATCTTGCAACATCTCATGAAATACAACAGCAAATGTTATGCTTCAAACCAACATCAGCAGAGTGAAAGTAAGCTCAGGCTCTTCATCCTACCGTCAAATGATCGCTCAGGAACTCTAGATTCTAGATCTTGACAACGCTGCAAGCAGACAGCATCTTGCTTGCTCGAACGACGGCTGTGACTGTTCAGGCACCAAGGTTGAGTACATGCTGCGTTCAAAGGCACGCACACCGTAGAATGCCAGCTGCAAAATCTCGAAAGACTTGCACTTTAACAATTTGCTGCGAGGATCATCAGACAAACTCCACTGGTTCTAGAGAATGCTGTCACTGGCGCAGCCAATCACTTTTGGGACAAAACTGGGGCAGCATAGTGAAAATTCATTTTCTGCAGATTCTGCAGCCTTTACAAATAACAGCCGCCACGCCGCCCCTTCCTGGCCTCAAAGTTTGAGTCCATACCTGGCACAAGTGAAATGACATGACCTGCTTCCCAGGTGTTGCCCAGTCTCTAGAACACCTGATGGCATCTGATGCTGTCACAGCATGGTTAGGGGCCACGGGGCCAAGCCATTAGGGCCATTAGGGCACCATAGGACACCCTAATATGTAACCATCATTAACCATCCATTTTGGTGCAATCATTTTGACCTGTACCTGACAACATGAATGATCCTGCAAATTGTGTGTTGATTTAAACATCATCGTTTTGTGGATAAATATCCCTCCATCCCAAGTTATATAACCCCATCTCCTGGGAAGCTCCCCAGCTTTGATAGGCTCCAACCGACGCGTACCCGCGTACCTTCCGCAGGAGGGACATACCAAGCACGGCAGTGCCGTGTCGACATCCCCTTCACCAGGGGGACACCCCTCTAAACTTCGAGTGGATCCGCTTGGTGCCGGGAGGTTTGCTGGAACTGTTGAGGCCCAAAAAACCATGTGATGTGACTGGTGGCAATGCCTGAGCCAAAGGCTGCATCAAATAGGCAGCTCCAACTATCAGGTAAACGATCACAAAGTTCTGTGTTCATCATTCTCAACAAGACATATATTGCCGTGTTTACCATCGATATCATCTCCATGATGTCAAGTGGGAAGTATTTTCCAAACAAGAAAATGTGTGTCCTATTGGAATCTTGTGGGTTCAAATTTGCAAACAAAGATTGACTTTTTGGCGAAACCACCTGAGTTACAGTGTCCAACATGATTTCGTGAACTCGAGTTTAATCTGTGCTCTTGGGCGGTCTGGCAAATCTCCAAATGGGTGTGGGTCGAAACTATTACGCCCAGGAATGGATAGTTTTATACAGTGGTTTCACTAGAGCCCCATGTTCAGCATATACAATCAAAAAACGCAGACTCTTGGTTTCGGCCATTTTTAGTAACTTTTGCTGAAAAAATTCACCTAAATGGCTATGGTAAAACCCTTGTGAATGGAATGTTCACCCCTTAAAATCTGCGGGCATAGCTGCGCAGATTTTTTTTCTTGGCTAAGGCTCAACTGTTTGAGGGTTAAATCCCAATTTATTGATGCTTAGATCACCAGTGAATGATTCCGAGAATGACATCCCCATCTTTGGTGGTCAGCCTTCCATTTTCCATCTTTTGATGGTTAAATTAGGTAAATTTAACCAAAAATGTCCGCCAAATTGGCAACTTTTCTGCCCTCCATCAGTAGGGGCTCTCAGCGGAGAAGCGCGGCAGGTCATCACCCGCCAAAGCCAGGAGTTCGGCGGGGACGCCCATGCTCTGCAAGGCTTTCAGGCCTGGCTGGTGGGCAGCACCTTCTGTAACATGGCATGGAAGAATGTAGTAAGGCAGAGCATTCCAGCAACCATCTGAACAATTGGGGTTTTCCAAATTTTGCGAATACTGGGGGTATACTCAATACACTCCACTTGGGGATGGTTTATTATTTGGGTTTACCTCATTACATGGGTTTTGGGTTGGAAAATTGGGAAAGTCACCGGATTATTTTGCAGAAAAAACAAAGAGTCTAGCTGGGAGTAATTTTCAATTCATGGGCTTGGTGGCGGATAACCAAATTCCAGCAGGCAAATTCCAGCTGCATTTCAAACCCAAAGCAACAAACAAATCCGCCCGCACCGAAGGTGCCGAGGCGTGGTAGTTTAGCAGCGAGGGATACGGACAGATCTGTCAGACTGGTACAGCTTCAGCTGGGGGGGGGAAAGGGGCATTTTCGAACAGAGCAGACCGCCAAAAAGTGCACGGGACGGGATTGTGGTAATTCCCGCGTTGGCCACATGGGAGGGGGTTGGGTGAGAGGTGTATTGATGTTCTCTTGCCTTGCATTCTTTCAAGACGCTCTTGACTCTACGCTTTGAATTTCCCAAAGTAACTTGCCACACGCTCTTGATGCTACACTGGGGACGCTCTTAACTTTCTCGCGCAACTTGCCAGATGCTCTTGATGCTACTCTCTTAACTTTCTCGCGTAACTTGCCGCTCTTGATGCTACACTGGGGACGCTCTTAACTTCTCTCGCGCAACTTGCCAGATGCTCTTGATGCTACTCTCTTAACTTTCTCGCGTAACTTGCCAGATGCTCTTGATGCTACTCTCTTAACTTTCTCGCGTAACTTGCCAGATACTTTTCATGCTACTCTCTTAACTTTCTCGCGTAACTTGCCAGATGCTCTTGACGCTATGCTCTTAACTTTCTCGCGTAACTTGCCAGATGCTCTTGACGCTACGCTCTTAACTTTCCCACGTAGCTTGCCAGATGCTCTTGATGCTACTCTCTTAACCTTCTCGCGTAACTTGCCAGATGCTCTTGACGCTATGCTCTTAACTTTCTTGCATAACTTGCCAGATGCTCTTGACGCTATGCTCTTAGCTTTCTCGCGTATCTTGCCAGATGCTCTTGACGCTATGTTCTTAACTTTCTCGCGTAACTTGGCAGATGCTCTTGACGCTACACTCTTAACTTTCTCGCGTAACTTGTCAGATGCTCTTGACGCTATGCTCTTAACTTTCCCGCGTAACTTGCCAGATGCTCTTGACGCTATGCTCTTAACTTTCTCGCGTAACTTGCCAGATGCTCTTGATGCTACCCTCTTAAGTTTCTCGCGCAACCTGCCAGATGCTCTTGATGCTACTCTCTTGACTTTCTTACGCACTTGCCAGATGCTCTTGATGCTACTCTCTTAACTTTCTTACGCAACTTGCCAGATGCTCTTGACGCTATGCTTTTAACTTTCTCGCGTAACTTGCCAGATGCTCTTGATGCTACTCTCTTAATTCTCTTACGCAACTTGCCAAACGCTCTAGATGCAACGTTCTTCACGTAACTTGCCTCTTGATGCTAGGCTCTTAACCTTCTCAAGTAACACTTGACACACTCTCTTGATGCTGTTTTCCCAGACGATTGCATCATGGAATAGAAGCTGCTGTACGGACACAGTTGTCGCCACTCCTTGGGGCAAAAAAAACTGGAGAATTGTGCAGGAATTCTGCAAAGCGCTCAAGAAAAGTTCAGATGATTTGAAAAAGGGGAAAAAGGAGCTGATCATTTTGGAGTTCCAGATCAAAGACAATGCATTCCAGAAAAAGAGTACTATAATTTTGTTCTAATTACTAATTACAAAATGCTGTTTTTCGAAGTGGGCATGTGAAAGTCAACGTTTTGCTGTAGCGAAACTGACATTCTTGATATTAATCGAACGAAACTAGACGGCCGTTCTGGTCGCGAATCTAGTTGGTTTCGCAACATGTTTTCCCTATGTTCCTCGTGTAGCCTCTCACAATCTACGGCATTTGAGGAAGAAAAAGTAAGCTTCTTTTGAAACGAGAAGTGGAACCCAAAACTTTGCCTCTGCAAACTGGCGCTTGAAAGGACAGTAAAGGGCAAACTTGAAGGGTAAAAATCACGGGAATCCAACAGGTGACCCTGGGACCCCTCAAACCACGTTGGAATACGGATCCACCCGGCCTCCATCATTGGAGCTGCTCGAAGCAGCACTGGCACCGGCTGCGATAGACTCATCCTTCTTGGCCATGGCCATGATGGTCCTGGGCAGACACCAGAACTCCCGGTTTTCCATCGACCGGATCGGCATTCGTTCTCTTCGGAGAGCTCACTACCAATAAACTCTCAGTTTTTCACTCCAACACAAAAAAACATTGAAGTTCACTTGATAATGTTCTCAGGTTTTCTCCGGCTGCAGAATTGCAGAGCGTTCACCCAGCTCCCGCCTCAGCAACGACTCCGCCTGCGCTTCGCCCTTCTTGACTGCCGCACGGATCTCCTCCTACGTGGGGGATCCCAAACGGGCACCGGGGAAAGCAAACAAAGGAGTCCACTAAGTTAGTCCAGCAGTCTCCTGCATCAAACTATTGTCAGAATGATCGGTTTCGATGTACTCTTTTTCAGTAGAAACCCTGAGGCTTTTCAGGTGGTCCCCCAATTTGTCAGAGCCCAAGAAGGATTCCAAAATCACAAAGAAATGGCAGTCTATTCCCCCCCTGACCGCTCCGTCTTCGCCAGGTCAGCTGCAGTCTGATTTTCCAAGTTTTCGATCGAAAGATCTGCACCTGCTGCGATCAAAGCCTCTACCACCTGCCACAAATGGCGGGATGATCTGTCGGCTATCTCGAGAGATATCTTTGACAGTTAAAGTTAGTACCCAAAAATCCCACGGTTTATCATCACTTTCTGGCCCCTTTAAATGGCCAGAATGGACCGGTTAATACCGTACCAAGTTTAAGTCTGATGCTAAACAGCGCGAAACCTTCGGATATTGGCACAGGTCACATTTTTTCGTGCCCGAAAACAGACTGGAATGGCTTAGTAGCGTGTATTGTTCCCAGGTCATGAAGGCGATGAAGGCGATGAAGGCGAGGAAGGCGATGAAAACTCTTAAAACTTGAAGGCGCTTACGGCCTTCTTGGCCGCACATCGGATGGGCTTGAGGAAAACGAATTCTTTGTGGAATGGCTTAGTTACTGTAGTATACAGTATTATATTTGAGTACTGGAAATATCGAAAAATCAGTAACTGAGACCCTGCCGATCCCGGTGCAACTGAGAATGTCCAAAGGGGCCTTCTTATGTCCTTCACGTGCCGCGATCATCACTGCGGTGTTGCCCTGCTCGTCTACAACCTAATTGCAGAAAGGTCAAAGCCAGTTGCAAGCTGCAAGGATATGTGTTACTACTTGGGTATGGTTCAAACATTCTGGTACCCAAAAGTGAGATGGTTAGTACTGAAAATAGCATTTTTGTGTGCGTCTTATGTTCTCAAATTTTGATATATGAAGGGAAAGGTCCAAATGAGTGGCAGAGCGCGGGACAAATGCCCTGTCACAGTGTAACCGGCCTCACCCCCGAAATCCCAAAAAATTCATCAAAATTCCTGATTTATCCGGCAAAATCATTTGCCAAAGCCATTTGAAGTCCCTCTGAACAGTTCAGAGCCAGGTAGCTTTGGGAGCTTTCAGTGGGATCGCCCCAAAGCACCCAGGCCCTGCCCATCTGAGATGCCCAGACGTCCAACTGCGGTTGAGTGCACGAAGTTTCCAAGGCGCGAATCACTACGTCGTCTTGCCCTGGGTTCATCCCATTCTGGGAATCCTGGATTTTTTTCCGGGCTATAGATCCCAATGAAAATGGAGAACATTGAGAACCATCCCCCAACTTCGCATCATAAGCCAATCTTTTGAACATGGCACCTGTGTTGCAGCACTGACACCATGTGTTCCAATCGTTCTATGATCCGAGTCGCCATGTCTGGCTGCAATCATCAGAGCAGTACGTTGCCAGGTGGCACCTTGTCACACAATGTTCAGTCTTGTATTCGTATTATCGTTATGACTGTTATGTTTATCATGACTGTTATTCATGTATGTGATTCATGTATGACTGTATATTATTGTTATGTTGTATCATGATCTCAGCAAGCTCACTTGATCTCGCGGATCTCATAACATGCTTTTATCACATCTCGTGATATGAATCTCAAGGCCAAGCGGCCAAGCTGACAGCCTCTTTTCTCCGTGGACTTCAATTCGACTCAAAAGTTTAGTCGTTAAAGCATAACAAATAACACACAACGCGGTATACAGTGTGTATATTATAGAGAGAGAGATGTACAGATATGGGTTTGTCTAAAAATGGGGTCCCCCAAGACATCCACTGCTCAATCATAATTTCCCCTATTCATATGGCCATTTAGGGGTATATGGTATACGGCATACCCCGCAAATAGAGCCATATACAGAGACACACACACCCAACGAAATGGGCTGCCCCCTTGGCATCTGACAGCCAGGGACATCAGCACTCGCGGTAGGCGACATGATTCTGGCGCTATCTCAAGAGATCGGAGACCCGAGAAATTTCATCAAAAACTCATTGGGGACCCATGGTTTAGTAGCTCAAACCCGCTGCGTGATACGGGCACGTGAATCTTTAAACCGCTAAAAAAAGTGTGAGCTGGTTCTCAATCGTCGTCCTGAGAAGCCTTCCATTTGACTGCAGATCACGTGGCTTACACCGTTGAGATATGTTGAGATGTGTTGCTGGCATCTTGGATATACACAGCTATGTGCAGTCTTTTTGGTGGACATCTACTCTATAATATACATATATATATATACATATATATACATATCATATATATATATATGTATATACATATATCATATATATATATCAATTGATGCATTCATCATGGTCATCACAAGCATATCCAGATATGATATACATAAATGTATGTGGTCAGCATCTTTGCAAAAATCCCGAGCTTTTGGAGCGACATCGCTACAGCAGGGAAAGACAGTCCCGAAAATACGTGGAAAAAATGTGCCTCTGGTAAACTAACATAACTATGGAAAATAACCATTGTTAGTGGGTAAATCAACTATATATATATATATGGCCATTTTCAATAGCTATGTTAACTTACCAGAGGGTACTTGTTTGATCGTTTGTGCAGGGCATTGAGTTGTCCGAAATGGTTTGACACGGATATCTCAATCTTCCCAGGGGTTGATAAGAGATGCACTTGGGGGGGGTAAAAGGAAACCGCTCCTCACTCCATTCAATTGTGTGTGTGCGGAAGTTTTTCACCACAAAGCTGAAATTGCGCGGACCGATTCCACGGTTGGTTGCTGATACTTCAAGAGAACAACTTCATGCCAGTCCGAGCGCTTTCTCCTTCTGGGCGCATAGTGACGATTTCGCCAAAAAGAGGGGTGGGTGTGTATCCTAAGACCAACCTGCAAGAAAGATCAAAATGGTGAGGGCATAGAAGAAGTCAAGTCCTCTCGAGGAAATGCGCGGCAGTGCTTGGCTATGTGCAGTCGTACCCAGCCGCGATCACGCAGCAAGCAACTGGGTATGCGACGAGTACTGAACCTTGTCAGCCCGAATTGATCCCAGTTCGCATCTGAGGACCGACTGATCGAATCTTCTCAACTGGAAACGGTGGTGTGTTAGAAAATTGAACCCCCATCCACCATTGTTCCAGTTCTTCCTGGTTCCTCCAATCCTTCAAAACAATTGATAACTACCCGAGAGCTCTCTAAACCTGGTGGATTTTCATGGCCCATTTCCTGCACAGCAAGAAGCGAACCAGGCGAGGGGTTCGGTAGCAGTGACCACAAACGGCGCCAGAGTTCGTTCAAACACGGCCGTCAAGTTCGGCGCCAACCACAGGGGTGGCAGTGCTTTTTTTACACCATGTGGCCTTGATTGTGTCCCAAGAAAATTGGATGCTGATGGCTTGTGGTATCGCAAAATGACTCATTACAACTTGTAAAATTTGGAAATCCGGTACATTATTTTTTGGGTCAACCACCAGAATCTGCGAGTTTCGACACCGAAATGGTTCTTTTCCTTTTTTCTGGATCTTGATTCATTTTTCATCCTCCTTTTTAATGGATCTTCATCCCCCAAGATTCAACGGTAAATCACAGGTCCTCAGCAATCCACGAAGAAAAACGTTTCAAGCCACCCATCATTCTGGGTATTAATAATCACTAATCAACTAGGTAGGTCAATAACCCCCTATAATAATCAATCAGCAAAGGTGTTTTTAATTCCTCTGAAATTCCAAGCCATTCCCATTCTCAACATGAGCGTTGCTTTGAGTCGCTGCAAAAGGCAGCAGAATCAGCCACTCCCCGTTCATGTCGCCACAGAGGCAGGCGCAATTTTTAACCAGTCAAAACCAGAAAAAATGGTCTTCATGATTTACCCCCTAATCTGATATAGCTCTGGAAAATTGCCTATTTAAAGCTGATTTACCTATTCTATGAAATTATGAAATTATGACTTTTCCACAGCTATGTTACAATGTTCGTTTACAAGAGGGTATACACTACAAAGCAACAAAAATTGGATGTTCCCATCAAAATTGTTTCGCCTGGGATGTTTTTCTGCATGGGAGAAAGGAGGGTCTCCCCCCATTTCCCAACCATTGTTGTTGCTACCAACAAAAAAAGAATCCCTTTGCTGCCTTTTCGGGTCCCCAATCTTTCAGTCGTCTCCATGCGACAGGAAATCCCCAACTGACTGGATCACAGACCTAACTTGCGTCCTACCTCTGCCCGACTCCTATCTACATCGCCGGCTCACAAAACTGTTTCTATGAGGCGGCTCAAGCCCTCGACACGGCCGACGCCTATGTCCGGAGGTATTCCAAAACCTGCAAGGGGGCCACGCCACAGAGGTTTCATTGCAGTGATCCAACATCCAAAAGGCTCTGGAAGCCCTGAAACAAACAAATGAGGTTTAGAGGTTTAATATCTCAGCGCGAATCTCAGGATGGCTAAACATGTTTGGGCCCTGATGTTTTTCATGATTCATATAAGACAAAAGATGACATGACAAGTTGATACCCCTGAGCAATACTGTGCAAATTTCCAAGAAAACATAGCTGGTTGGTAATTGAGCCATCCCATCTTGAGGGTGGCAACAAAGAAAGAAAAATGTGAATGGCACCACCAACCAGCTGTCTCATGTTACCCATGACAAAATAATATATGTATATATATGTTATAATATATTTTTCATAACAGATTGGGAACTGGAAAATCACATAAACTCACCATATCTTTCAAACTTCGGTAGGGATCTCTTCACTAGCTGGACCACTAGTTCTTCCACATGCAACAAATGACCAAAGAGTCAGCATTGCTCTCGCCTTCTTGGGTAGCCAGCCGTCGCCCAGCTTGTCCGAGGCTCGGTCAGCAAGGCGCCTTTGAGGGTAACCGGGTAATATTTTGAGGGAATGGATTGTGTAAGTCAACCAAAATGGAAATGTGGGGTTTGAACTTTAAATAAATGATATGAAACGTATTGCATAATCATTGTTTTTCCAGTGTTGAAGGGACTATGTTGGTTGAGGGACTTACCAATCATATTGACCCCGTACTTGCTGCAATGAAAGTCCCATTTTAATTTGGATTTTTAGTGCCCAAATGAATTCTGTGGGTATGGGTCAAAACGACAGAACCACCGGCAGAAGCAAAGAGCGGCTCGTGATATCAATGCGGCTATCATAGCTATGCTTCCACAATGTGACCACAGTTTGGCCACAAAAAGTTGGCCACTTTTAAGTGGCAAACGGCAAAGCGTTCGCTCTTGAGGTTCAATGATTCGGACAGGAATCTGTTTCCACTGGACCCAAACTATCCCCACTTGGATTAAAATCGTCGCGAAAGCCATGTGGGATTAATAAGGTATGGTCATCCATCCCAGAATGAATTCTTTCCAATAGGTTTAATAAATGCCCATGAATGGTGGTATGACCATCTCCCAATTGGGGAGACTAACCCATTTTTGGGGTGTCAACGCCCAAAAGAAGCCATGGGCGTGTTGATGTTTTTTTTGGTGCGTGGGGTGGGGTGGGGTAATAACGTTCTCTTGCACTTCCACACATTTTTCATGCTACGCTGCTGTACGTTCTCTTGCACTTCCACACATACGTCATGCACTTGGGAAGAAAGTCCACTGCTAAGTTTTCGTTTTTGACCAGAACACAGGCTTTGGCTTTGGACAGACAATGGGATTGGTTAAAAAAATCCAATTCTAAGGCAGTTGCACACACAAAGACTGCAGACAAGACTTTCCAAAACTTTGGAAGTACATGTATGCTGCTGTGTGGCGCAAACCCTCACAGGCAAGGTCCTCAACAAACGTGGCAAACTTTGTGCTTGAAGAAAAAAGAGAAACTGGGACACCTTTGCAAGAAGGGGCACACGAAATAACAGTTTTGTTGTAGTAAAACACTCGATTTTGCAATTTTGATGTGACCCTTCCATAGAAAATCAACCAGAAAATTGATGAAGAGAAATGGAAACCTGCAAATTGTCACAGTCTTGGACATTGGTTGATGTCATCTCCGACACGGCCTCTTACCGACGTTGATACCATGTTTTGACCATAGCACATGTGTCCCTGTATTTGCAAAACGCCCAACTCAAAGCCGCAAATCTTGAACCGAACCCAAGTGGAATTTCACCATCTGACTATCTGAGTTATCTACTTGACTCCACCATTTATATGGGTATGGTTCAAAATTAGATCATTACGTATATATATATCCTTTATATTAGATAACCTTTCTAGTAGATAACCTTTAAGTCGGACGGTTCATCCGAAACATCCGACTCGCAAATCTGCTGCGGTCCCTCTCAACTTTGGGGCCCTGACTCGCCGTAGACCCAGCCACGTTCCGCCTCGGATCCCCGATGGATGGATGGTCATGGAAAATCCATCTATAAATGGATGATTTTTAGGGGTACCCTATGAAAAATCCCTATTTCATGAAACCTCCATACGTTACTATAAAGATCTATAAAGACCAAAAACACTATGTTACTATAAATGAAAACCCCCTAATATAGTTGAGATCCTCCAGAGACAGTGAATGGTTTGCTCCTACCCAATGGTACAGTGAATGTTTCAGGAACCCCAGCATTCCATGAAGTCGGGCAAAATTCACAACTTGCTCCCGGAAAAAAGTTGGGAAATCACCGAGAAATTCTCCCATCCGCTGGTCGCTTCCAAAGGCGCCTCCTTTGAAACCGCGATGACTTCGCCCTTGCTGACCCCTAGCGTTGCCTGGTCGGGCAGGAGCCAACTGATGCAACGATGGGTTTTCTATGTCCGCAATCGCCAGAAAGCCATAGCCAAATGGTTTTCTATGCACAAGATATCCTTCGAATACCCTCGCCCACTCCTCAAAAAGGCATGCAGCGGACCCAACATAACCCAGCGTTTCAATACTATGGGATTATATGTTATAATCATCCCCACTAACCCAGGTATTCCCTGTTAACCAGTCAACCAAGGTCTCCAAGAAATCGCTCAGGCGGCCTGCCCTTCTGCAGGCCAATCCACAGCTACTCGGCAAAGACTAACTCGCTTCACCACTGCCTGCAGATGCGGTTGCAACAGGTCGAAACTCAAAATTTCATGTGGAAGTGGAAAGCCGCCACTCTCATATCCACTACCCTCTGGTAAACTAACATAACTGTGGAAAATCACCATTTTTAATGGGTAAATCAACTATTTCTATGGCCATTTTCAATAGCTATGTTAGTCATTACCAGAGGGTAATTGAAGCCCCAAAAGGCTTTGTTAAAACATCGCCTGTTTGTATATCAAACACCCACAAAATGAAGCACCTGTGGGATCCACCCCTCGGTGGCTGTGGCTAATGCTTCACTTCCGGTCTTTAAACCTTGCACGGTACCTGGGCGAGGTCCGAGAACTTGGCTTTTTTTAAAGGCAGAAAATGAGCAGTGTTCAAAATTCCTCTGTCATTCCATTTAATCCTGGTTGGTTCGTAGGGATTCCGGTATTGCGTAGTACAATTCCATATATATAATCATCAACCAACCAGGGTTTTGAACACTGCTCAAATGATGAGCAGCCATGTGATCTTGGGGTAGCCGGGTAGCCGATTTCCATCAGGGTTAGGGGTTTTGGAGAATCAAGAGAAAGTCAACAAAAATCTGAGATGAGCTGATCCTAAATAGAATCAACAGGGGATTCGCTCAGAACCAGCCCCACATGAAGTTGGAACTGTGAACCACTTGAGATGTTCACCAACTCGGTGCACATTTTCACCAACAGGTTTTCACCAAGGGTGCCCCGATGTGGGATCCCCGATGTGGATCAAAACGGTGGTACAGTGAGTGAAAAACAAAGTGGACGGCTACCCCACCAATCGGAATGACAAGAACATCCATGAGCAACAGATGCAACAGCTATTTTTTGAGACCCTCTGGTGCTATTAGTGGATAGTGATATCCAATGATACGCATATTACCAGTGAATATCACTGGATACCCTCAGGTAATATACAGTTTCTGGATGATATAGCTATAACTATAACTAGTATAACTGACTTGATAGTGTTGGTCTTGAACAAGGTCCCAGGCTTGATATACCGGCCCATCCCCATCGAGCAAAAAGGGGCCACGGGGCCTGCATAGACCCAACCATGAGCAGCTCGGTAGGAGATGTTCACCAAAGTGCCCTGCAGAGGTGTGCCATTTTCATCCATTTTCCAGATCAAAAAATACAATCCAAGCACCTTTAGCTCTAGAGACTCTAGAGACTCTAGACTTGCCATCTTTTAGACAACAACGACAACAACAACAACAACAAACCATACCCACCCCAGATCTACCGCCTTCGCCACATAAAGTTGTCCAGGCCTCAGAACGCTGGGTCATTCATGGTCCCAGCCCATGAATATGTTTTTTTGAATGGCTTTAATTCCCAACAGGGTTTGAACGACTTAATTAACTTATATAACTGACTTAGCTGATCTTAGCTGACTTGACCAATGAAAGATACTTTTTCCTTTCTCGACCAAGATTATAAGTTCATGGCTTGAGAGAAGAATGACCAAATTCTGCAGCTCTGGCCAGAAAAAATGCGAAGTGTGGTTGGTCTGAATGCGTGGACCGAAGAATCTACCCACGACTTTTGAAGCAACGTGATTGATCCCTCAAAAGAGATCTGTATTGCTCAACACCAGTGATTCCACTAAAACTGTGACCAGCTTTTGGGAATCTACGCACCCCTGAAAGGATCTCCTTGTGACGAATGGCAAGATGAAACTCTGCTTGCTGTCATAGTGCAGTGAGCATTTAAGCCCCAACAGTTCATATCTTTCTTTCAAAAACTGCTCAAATATCGAAATGGAGGTTTCTTAAAATGTGGATCCCCCAAGTTACTGCGGGCTTCAATACTCAATGCTAAATCATGGTCATCCATGACTTGGATGATTTGGGGTATTCCCATGACTTATCATGACTTATCATGACTTATCATGACTGGCCGATCCGGGATCTCTCACTGGTCCGGCTCCCAGTCGTGGATGGTGATGTGCAACCTGAAATGCTGGCTGCACGAGGAAATGAGCACCGACCAGCTTTAGACCCTTGCTGGGGACATTGCCACATTGCACAGCCACAGCAATGCAACAGTTCTGTTTTCCCAGAATTTTTGGGGTTCCATGTCAGTTTTCAGGAGGGAAGTGATCCATCACATTGCCAAGAAACAATCCAGGCCCCGTGGGAGGCTGGAACTCTTTGACCTGGGAGCATCAAAAGATGTTCTGAAGCTAAGGATGCCATGTCTTCCGCTGGTGGGTGATTTCAACCCATCCAGAAAAAAAATCGCATTGTCGTCGTCATCAAAATCATCATCATCACCACCACCAGCATCATGAAAATGAAGAGCATTCATTCGAAACCGGTCACACCTCATCTGCTGCGAGCCGAGTTCCCAACCGGTGCTCCTCCGGTGCTGGGCGCAGTGCTGCCAGGTGTGGCTGGTGTGGCAGGTGTGGCTGGTGCAGCCCCGGCGGTCGCTGCCTCTGGGCCCGTGGCTGCCGTGGCAGCTGCTGGTGCGGCGGCTGGGGTCGCAGCTGGGGTGGCCGCTGGCGTGGCTGCGTCAGTTACTGCTGGTCCTGTGCTTGCAGCGGCTGCAAGGGTCGCAGCCGCAGACACAGTGGCTGCAGCTGCAGTGGCTGCAGCTGCAGTGGCTGCAGCCTTTTCTTCGCCATTGGTTTGAGCAACTGTCGCTGGTGTTTCATCGACCTGAGGCATAGTAGGAACGGCTGGCTGTCGATAAGTAGTACCAATCAATATCTTTCAAAGGTTTCATGAGAACTAATACCAGTAGCGCCTACCCTTCGACGGGAACCTGCCGTGCCTGCGAGGCAGTGGCTGCGGTATCCGCAAATGCTGCTGCCTGGGTCGTCAGAGGGTGGCAATCTGACCCTAGTGCACAAGACGAGAGTTTTTATGCACATCTAGAAATACAGGGTATGCAATGGATGTTATCATGGTTCCTTCCCAGGTTGGACCCGTAGTTGGCATTGCAGTAAACGATCACATACTATTCAATCCATCCATTTATCATGCAATGTGTCTGACATTTAAACTTTAAACCATTCACCATTTATCTCGGCAAATTACAACAATGCACTCAAGCCAACTTTAGCATATTTGCTTTCAGTGACCATCATGTATGGTGCTTGGTTGCTGACAGGTCGCCAGAGTTTATTCAGAATACAACATCAAACCCCTATTTTTGTTTGTCCCGAATTTTGGTTGACCAATTCTGGTTGCCTCTTGAAATAAGCTAGACATGTGTGGCATAAGGAAACTGGATCCCAACTTAAAATGATGAAAAACCCATGAAAATAATGGAAAAACCATGAATTCTACCCAGATTCCCAGGTGTCCATCGGCACCTTCTCCTCTGCCGTCGCCGCTTCGGATGTGGCCACGGTGGCACCCCCAGGGGTGGCCGCACCCACGTCGGAGCCGGGATAGGCCGCCTCTGATCATTTGATGAGAAAAACTAAACAAGATATACAAGATGGTTATAAGTTATAACAGTAGAAGAATTAATAGTGGTTAATAGTGGTTAATAAACCAAATAGTAATTGGATATGACATAATGTGGTTAAAACAATGTCATAAACCACCAATTTGGAATGGTTTATACCACTTATAAAAATGGTGATGACTGGGGGATGGTGCAAATGGCATTGTTTTACCCACATTAACTGATTTCACCAAACAAGAGACATCCATCTTTAGCATAAGATACTCTATCCATCTTTTTTCTGAGAAGATCTTTGTTTGCTTAAAACTTCTTTTGGTTCAATCCACGATTTTGGGGATGCCACTTAGTTTCTGATATTGGGGAATGATTCCACAATAAACGCCTGAAGTTGGATGTCTAAAATTATCCAATCTCCCGGTGCTTAGCAGTAGACTCAGTGATACATGGGCAACACATCTCCCGGATGACTGCGAATTGTATCCAGAAACATGATGATGACCAAAAAGACCAGTCTGTCAGTGGTTTGCCAAGTCCTAAATTTTGGCCCAGAGCCAGTTCCTTAAATGTCAAGCCCAAAAAAAGCATGGCTGCTGAGATCCGGGCACCATTCGGATACGTCCTGGACATTAGTTGAGCAGCGTCTAAAAAATGGTCAAATACTGCCAACATACATGGGGATTCAATCAGCAAAAGTGGGATTTGATACAGGAACTACCCCTCAGAGACTGTTCTGCGGGATCTTTATCATCCATTACATGGCAATCCTCAATGAACATCCACCATGATCCACCCTTGATTCATGGGCACATCATGCGAAATGCAACTCTCCAGCTTCCCTTCACATGCTTTCAAAAAGTTCTGGTGAAGCAGTCAAGAGTCATTTCATCATTTCAAGCCCTTCTTTCTACCAACAAGTTTCTAGCCTTGCTGAAAACCCCTCTGGGAGTCCAAACCCATACTGCGCGTAGGGGTTGCCACCATAGGGCGGTGTATAGCCCGGCTGCCCGTACGGAGTCGCACCGTGTCCTGATTCGCAACAGAAAACGAGAACAAGTGGTTTTTCGTCCCCCCAGCCCCAGCCGGTCCCCCGGGTCCGTATCCATATGGATTGTATGGTGGGTAGCCATACGGAGACTGCGGCGACCTCGAGGGGGAACAATTTTGCACAACTTTGGCCGAGCAGAGACTCCCGAGCTACCGGCGGATAAGGATAAGGCGGCTGCGTGGCACCCGCAGGTGGGTAGGAATAAGGCGGCACACCTCAGCGCCGCACAAATTGTGCGGCGCAGATTTTTGCTGTGGAGTAAGACACACCTCTTTCATTCATCACTCATCCAAGTTCTTGATGTCGACGAACCCTCTGGGAATCCGGAGCCATAACCCAGAGCCGCGTTGGGGTCTGGCACAGGTGGGGCCTGCGACCATTTCGCTGATGTGGTACTTTTTCGGAGGATCATTTTGGATTGGAACCATTCAAAAATTTTAGGGCTGATATAGTTGATCACCCCAGTAAATTTGGGTTACCATTCAAATGATTCGACCAAGTAGAATGTGATCATAATCTTCACCCTTTTTCAAATACTTACCTTCTGTGCAATCCCATAGAAAGGATTTCCTGAACATTTCTCTCCAAGATGCCAGATATTTCGATCTCCAGATTTCCCAAAACCTGCCTGGTAGTACAGGGCCGAAGGAGGACCCTCTGACAGCTCTGGATATGCCTCCAAAATGAAGAAAACTGGTGCCAGTGATATGCCAAATTCTCTGTTTTCTACAGAAAAAAAGATCCTTATTTCATCTCATTATTTATCTCATTTCATCTCATTTCCATGCATTTCATTGCATTTCCCTCAAAAAAATGGCCAAGGCCAAGAAGTTGTGGATCTTCTCCGTTTTTGACAACCCCAAGCCAGTCCGTGGTGTTTCACGACCCCGGCCTCTGAGTGCGGTGTCCCAGGGGTTCCATAGGATGGATCCATGGCTGACCTTCGGTGATCATTTTTGGGATTGTAGCACAAAATGGATGAAATGCAGAGTCGATGGATTTGATTAGAACATGGCAAACACCGCACGAAGCGCGGTCGAAGCACAGGCTACCCTGTTTTTACTTGTGCCCAAGACGTCTATCGGAGCAAGGACTGTACATGTCACCTGGCAGCTGCATGGAAGGGACGTGACACAGGAATGTGTTTCTCAGCCCCCAAAACTCTTGTTCCATGGAGCTGCATATTGGATTTCTTTCTGCTGTCGGACTGCTTTTCTCGGCTTAGAACCACATCTTCATCTTCAATCATAAAACGGCTGGTTTTCAACATTTTTAACAGTGGTTCGTGGTGTCCCCCAGCAAACTTCGTCAGACTGTCCGCTGGATTACAATTGTGAGGGACCCACCTTGGCCGGCTTCTGCAGTCTGACAGGCTTTCACGTATGATCGCTATTTCTAATGCGCTTCTGTCATCTTCTCCCTGACTTTGTTCAGAGCACAAAGCATCAAAAAGGCTTTTAGCATCCATCACACATACCCCATGTGGGTCCTGAAACCTTTCAGAGTCGGAAGCGATGACAGTCGCCTTTCCAGAGGCTTCCAAATACTGATCTTCGGTCAGCTGTTTCCTACGAGGATTGAAATTTGACTGGCAAATGCTCTGAAAGAAAGAGTCCAAGCGTTCCAGAGCGCCTGTCGCAGCTGACATTGAAATGGATTCGCACAACAAGGATGATGAAGCTTTCCTACGGAGGCGTTTTGAACGCCACTGCACCAATGACACTGGGGCATTTTCACCAAGGATGTGCTCCATGGTGGGCTCAGGAAATGCAGAGGCCAGAATTGATGCTGCTGAAGAGGCATCTGGTCTTCCTTCACGTGAAACCCAGTTTAAGGAGGCTATCAGTCCACGTAGTTGCGTCTTCTCGCTTTCCGAAAGCTTCACTTTGCTAGCATCTTTCTTCAAAACCTTTCGCTGTGGCACAATCGGTTCCAGCCGCGTGTAGATAAATTCGTCCATGTTGCTCTCAAACGAAAAATCTGGGAGCTGTCTCAAAAACCGGCCAGCATAGTTTGTGCCTTGATCAGTTTGAAGATCTTCCACCTTTCCAAATTTCAATGTCGCTTCCAATTCTCGCATGCGTTTCATGTGCTCTTCACTACCTGCTTCTGCTATGTCGTCCACCTCAATGACAATGAAACCTTCGCTCAAGGCATTTGGTTGTGGATCTTTGGCAGGAAGGGTCAGCACGCATCTGTCGTAGCAGTTGACCACATAGTTGAGGTTTTCTGTCGCAACCTTCAACAAAGTTCGTCTCCACCAGCTTGGTCCTGAGACAAGGCCATAGATCTCGGTTTTGAGAAGCAGTAGCTGCCTCGGGTCTAAACCTTCAGGTGTTTCGTCTCTTGGAAGACGACATGCCAGGGGCTTGGACCTCGTTGTTGGAAGACTTTGCAAAAAGGCCGTCTTCACGTCCTTCACTCGGGTCTTCCATCTTCTGCTAGCTGCTAACTGGAGGCATGCGTACAAGCTTGTTGACAGAGGAGTAGGCGATGAGCGTTCCACCTCCATGATCTGAGGATCCTGCCAACCAACTGCACATAGCCGTGACTTTGGGTTTGTGGCATCGGTCTCCAGTTCAATGGCCTGCAAATGACCTTGTTGAAGAGCTTTGACCTTGTACTCTTCCAGCTTTTGGCGGGACACTGCTACTGGTTTGTAACGGTCCACATACTTGGAATCGATGATCTGCTCTGGCGTCTCCTTGGCAAACTTCAAGCTGTCTTCCAGTGAAAGAATCACCACCGCTCCAGTGGCTACAAGACTCTCCAGCTCTTTCTTCCGAGATGCTCTGAACTGAATCTTCTCGGCTTCTTCCAGCATGGAGAATTCAACTTGTCCAAAGGAAGATTTTGCTTTGGAGACATACATGCATCGATCTCTGACCGAGTAGCTCGCCTCGGCTTGTTGTCCTGCAAAAGTTTCACCATCCTCCACCAATGGCTTCAACGTCTTCTGACGTCGATCACGGTCAATTCTCCAGGTTGCACCAATGAAGGCTGTTCGATCACCAGTGACAGCTTCTTCAGCACATTCGTCAAAGTCGATAACTTCCAGATAAAAGGATTGTCCTGGTGGACGAGGCAGTGATGGCGCGCCTGAAGAAAATGGAAATGGAGCCCTCGATGGCGCCGGTGTGAAGGATCGGTTCGTCAGGGTTGGTGTTGGACCAGTGATGGAATCTTGGTTGATCACCGGTGTCTCTGGCTGGTCAAGAAGGATTCCATCATCCCTCATTCGCATAGAAGTTGTCGTTCTCGGCCTCGGCACTGTTGAATATGGCATTGGACGTGTCCGTGCTGGAGTTGAAGGTCCAAAGGAAAGGTTGGGAGGCTGTGCACTGACTGGACTGCTCGCTTCGTTGTGGCTCACATCCATAGCCTCTTCTTCAGGAATCACTTCCATAGGTTCTTGTCCTTCAACCTGTTCAGACAGCGCACTTGCACGTCTGCTGGGCTGTTCAGATCCAGCCGCAGTGGCTGAGTTTGAACCTTCTTCGGTGTTGCCCAGACCCAAACTTGCCGATTCCGTAGTGTTCGAAGTTTGGCCAGTTGTACTGCTGGTACTTGAAGTTGAGCTTGATTCACGTGGTTGACTTGGCTGGTGGTCACCTTCTTCTCGAACTTCCAAAGTTCTCATGACTTCATCAAAGTAGTCGTCGGTGGGACCACCTTCTTGAGAAACATCTTGAAAGACCACATGGCCAGGTTTTTGAAGTTTCGTCAGCATCTCTTTGGACAGCTCCACAATGAGCTCAGCTCCAAGCTCTTCTTCAGGTGTGGCAAGTCGAAGTTGTTCCTGTGAGGCTTTCCAAAGTCGTCCACGCATTGAAATCCAAGTGGACTTTCCTGACGGATCTTCTGCTATGGTGACTCCTGGGCCAACCCATCCTTTGTAAGATGGTGAATCTCTGAAGACATACACCCAGGAACCAATAGGGATTTTGACCTGGTCTGTGGTTCTTGTTTGAGCTCTGATGCTTCTGCGTATGGCTCCTTGATCTTGACGTCGAAGCCATTCCTGAGACGCCAGTTCGCGAACTTGCCAGGCTCGATGAATTGGGTCTCCTGCTGCAACATCAGTGAGCTCGCTGTTGAGAGCGTCGGTGGACATCAAACTTGCTGGAAGACGGAGGTTCTTGCCAAAGACTCGCTGCATGGGAGAAAATCCAAGCTGCTGCTTGAGCTGTTGCAAGAATCTTATCCTTCAGGATTCCACCGGCTCGCTCAGTTCTGGAGTTTTGCCACGGACTCTGGGCATCGATGTAGTGCAGTCCAACTCACAAGCCGCCAATGGTGTTCTGCAGCTTGTCGTTGTAGAACTCTTTGCCCCGATCCATGATCAAAAGCACAGGTGGGCCGTAGTGCTGGATCCAACAGGTCATAAGTCCATTGAGAGCCTCTTCTGCTGATTTGTCTTTGCAAAGACTGGCTTGTTGAAAATTGGTTCCCCAGCACAACATGTTCAAAATGATGAACTGGTGGCCTTTGAAGTCCAAAAAGCAAAGGTCCACGCCCACCACTGTGTTGAACTCCAGAGCTCGCATCAAGTGACCTGGTCTGGATGGCTTTGGACGTGGTCGTGCATCACAGGTTGGACATCTGAAATGACGTTTCGTCCAGGCCACAATGTGATCTTGAACTCCAGCATTCTGCAAAGCTCGCACAAAGATCTCCAGACCTGGATGGCCTAGGTTGCGATGTACTCTATGAACTTCTCGACGGAGGTTTGGAGCCAAAGAAAATTCACCTTCATCGGCAGTCTTCTCAAAGTCCTCCATCTTTTCAAGGGCATTCGCAACACCTGGTTGTTCTCCCACCAGTCGCATTTGGCGTCTGGCTTCAACCACCATATCTTCATCTGCTTCTTCCTCCGGTGCATCAACATCCATGGAAAGTGGAAAGGTTGCGGTGGAAGATCCTAGAAGATCGGATCTTTCCAGCCCCGCAGCCGTTCGAAGTCCATCGGGCTGCAAAAGTCCATGGGCTGGTGTGGATGCTTGGCCCTCCTGAAGTTCAGGGTAAAGCCCATTAAGTCCATAGGCCAAATCAACTTCGGCATCCACTTCAAGGCAATCCACAGCAAAAATCTGAGCTTGAGCACCGAGGGTTTTGCCAAAGAGAAATGCTTGTTGAAGTTCCGGTGGTTGTTTTGGCATCTTCACTCCAAGAGCTTCTTTGACACCATTCACCACTGCTTTGACAAAGGCAGGTGTGTAAACTGCGGCATGTTTTGCTGCGCCGCCAATCAAGAGACCGTGTTGATGATCTTTCTGACACACCTTGTTGGCGTGAGATGCAATCTCTGGTATGTTTGTCGCCAGCACCGTTGGCTTTTGAACCAATTCCGCTTGATGAGGTCCACATTGAGCTCGAAGACCATAGCGACACATGTCGACTCGGATGGTGTAGACCTCCTCATCGTCAAGGAGCCTTTTTATCTTTGGTCTTTGCCAAGAGGTCGCTGGTGCCGGTTGTTCCAGTATGAAGCCTCTGCCTTCACGCTTTTGCATCTCAGCCAGACTTGCGGAGAAATCCATGTGCAAGTCGCCTTCATCTTCTTCAGCTTGAACTTGAGCAGCATCTCTCTTTTTGTTGGTCAACCTTCTCAATGGAGAGAACGTCGTGCATGGTGGTGACAACAGCAAGACTGCAGGTCGTCTCTTGGCTATCAGTTGCAATGCTTGTTGTCGGTGTTCACGACGCCTAAAATCCCATCCAGTTGAGAGGTCAAGAGCGATCTGGCCTTTGAGGCCTTGCTTCTTTGCTTCCTTGGTGATTCGTGGTGGCGAGTACACTTCGCCGACATCATCCAAGTAGCTTCGTAGTGCTCCAACAACAAAATGTCGTTGGCCTCGTTCCAAAAACTTGGGCATTCCATCAAAGTCAGTTCTGGACAGCTCTTTGAGGCTGTCATTCCAGGCAAATGCAAAAGGATTGATGCCGTTCTCGGTCTCCTCCGCAGCGCTGGGGTCACAAGGCATAGGTGAGCCCATCAGGTCATGCAACCTGGATTCTGTAGCTGCAAGACAAGACCAAATCACGACATAGGAGAGCATCACGGCTTTTGCAACTGTTCCCAAGGCTGCTCTCGACTTGTCCTTGGGCTTCTGCTGCTTCGTCTCACTCACTTGTCCGACGGCACCATGTTGAAGTCCTGAAGTGCCAGCGGACTTTCCTCCTCCTCGCTTGAGTTCAGCACATGGGTTTCGGTGGCCACTGTTCCATGTGGAGTCCTTGGACGGCTCATGGACTGGGCTGGAATCACTCCTGAGAGCAGCTTCCTGCGGCTTGCTCGACGTTCTTCGGCAGCAAGAAGAATCCGGTGCTCCAGCTCTTGATCCGCCGTCATCTGCACATTCTGCTTGGGCATGATTGGTCCTTGGGTCATCAGTGGAATTGACATCGGAGACTTGTCGATGTCGTCCTTGGGAGATTTGTCGGGCTCCTCCGTGGGCGAAGGTGGCATCAGGTTTTGAGGTACTCCTGCATCTTGAATCACCAGGGCCTTCAGATCTGGCCTCGACTTGGGTGGAGGCAGTCTTGCAGGGTACGTCGCACTGGAAGACGCGGTCACCTTCTGCTCCTTCACTTTGGCTCGATCGGTGGATGAACTCGCACATGTCTTTGCGTTCTCCACCTGGTCCATCTCCCATTCCAATCTCTGCCAACGGCTTCCGCATCCAAGGCAGGTCCACCAAAACATTTGCTTCGAGCCTCTTTGGCGCAGCATTTCTTCGGCGTGCGCACAGCTGGAAGGCTCGTACTGCCATTCTTTGGAGGCTGTAGATCGAGGAAGCGGTTGCCCGATTCCCCTGCGAACTCGACCTTCGGGTTTGGTTGACTTCTTGTCCACAGGCAAATCGTGCTTGGGCATGGACACGACTGTTCCTTGGTTTCTGCTCACCAGGTAGTCCGCCGCAGACTGCTGAAGGATCTCCAGGTAGGTGCGAAAGACCATGATGATCATTCGGCGCCAAGCCGCATAGATCTTCTGCAGAGCACTGCGGTGGGCCCTGATCGGAGACTCTGCCATCTCCTGGTCGTCGGCCACAAGCCATGCTGCCACTCGATCCTGCAAGGAGGCATCAGCAACTTGAGGTACACGTAGGTCAGCGAGCTGGAACTCTTGAGACCGTTTGCTGCTGCTGATGTCGGCCGGCTGAACTCCAACGCTTTGCACTTCATGACATGGCATGTTTGAAACATCATCTGTTGCATCACTGAAGTGAACATGTTTGACATCTTTGACATGTTGTTGACAACCGCATGGAACATCCCCACATTTTGATTGCCCTGGGTCCTGCACTGCATGACCGGAGCTTGCATTCGCCGCCATGGTGGCAGCCTCGCAGGACAGAGCATTGTGAACATCACCGCAAACATGAGCAGGGGCAGGAACTTGTGCAGCATGATGGTGTGCAATAGGTCCAACAGAGGCAAAAGTTTCGAAAAACACATCACCCGACCAAAAAGGAAGTTGACGATGTTGGATGTGTTGCCATGAATCATGAATAGAAAACGGCATTGCAGCTGGATTGTCACAAAATGAAGCCACTGTCACCCGGGATGGTTTCAAAGTTGTCAAAACTGCAGCACTGAAAATTTCTTTGGGGTCGACCAAGGTGTTTCTGCGACCTTTCAAAATTCCCATGAAATGAAGTCGGTCTTCTGTTTTCATCCACACGGCAACACCAGGTCGCTGCTGAAAGGTGACATTCTTCCGCGTCTGCTTCTTCGGAATGAGAAATGGATTCACATCCTTGAAATTGAGTTCAGCGCGCAATTGATCCGGCACCATCCACTTGTTGTTGAAAAAGTCCATAATGGAGATGGTGCGATGTCCTGATGGCACCCGTTTCATTGGAGTGCTCTTGCCATTGCGCAGGATGAACTGTTCACGATTGGTGTCAATGGTGGCCCCAACCAACTCAATGTAGGAGATCGGCAGCAAGAAGGGCGTCTTGAAAGAACCTTCATCGGTGATCTCGGTCACCCTCAAAAGTCCATTTGTTGATGCAACCCCGACTGGGATATCAAAGACACCAACAATCTTTGCACTGCCACCAATCCCCGCACAGGTCACCGTAGCTCCACTGGCCTGAACTGGTTGAAGACCATGTTGAGCTAGTTGTTCTCGAAGGCGCAACATTGCAGTACTACCAATCACAGCTTCTTCTGCTGCCGTGTCCACCACAGTTTCATGGCCCTGAGTTTGTACGCCAGCAAACACGGAGAGTTGCTTCTCCTTGGACTCAGAGATGTTGACGTAGACACGGTTCTGAACACCTGAGCTTCCTTGGCACACAAAGAAATTTGAGCTTTGGCCTTCACCTCGTTGAGGACATTCTCGGCTCATGTGACCCAACTGGCCACATGAAAAACATCTCGTCTTTGCCATGAGCTCCTCAGGAGTTCCACGGTTTCCTCGACCTCGACCTTGACCACTTCGGAAAGAGCTTGAGTGACCCTTTCCCTTGGACTGGCCTTCGTGTCCTTTGTTCTTGCCCTTTTTGATCACACCACTTCCACGAGGTTTGAAAAACTGCCTGCCCTTTCTCTTCGCCTGCAGTTCACGACGCACATCTCGGTATGCTGAGTTGTAGGCGAAGATATAGGCAGTCTCCTCCTCAGTAAACTCCTCATTGGTATCGTAGAGCAAGTAGGTCAAGTTCCCATTGCCATCACTTTCTGGACCTGAGCCATCATCATCTGGCTGCAACTCCTCGTCGTCATATTCTTCGTCCTCATCCCCCTCAGGTTGTTCTGAAAGGTCTTCATAGTTGGTCGCGGCCATGTACGTCTTGGCCACTTTCGTCACAAGAGCTTCAGGACGATCAAGAGGACGAAGTGCACTTGCAGCTTGTTCGAAGGTCATCATGGAGTTATACTTCACCGCCATTGCCTCATGTTGAGTGTCTGAAAGACCTGCATGCCGCAGGAGAATTCGACCAGCAACTTTCGTTGGGAGCCGCTCACCTAAGTTGGCTTCCAACTCTTGCAGAGCGACCTCCTTGGCTGCAACGTAGGTTGAGAAAGATTCCTGCTTGGATCGCTCACCGCCATAGAAGAAGGCTTCGATGGAGGCTGGCCCAGCCGCTTCCAAAAAGGGTGCATACTTTGCCAGGATAGCTGAAAGGATCGCTCCGTAGCCAGCATCTGAAGTCAACGTAGACACATCGATCGTCTCAGCTATCTTCCTCGGGGCAGACCCTTCAGAAAACGACTGAAGCAACTTAAGGCCCCATCTGTTCTTCGGCAGGTTGTTATCCAGCTCCCACAAAGAAAGCTGGCGCAGCCATCCACGCAAGGTCTCCACATTACCATTCCAACCAGGCAGCAACTTGCGGTCTCCGCTCAAAGCGGCCACCAAGGCCTTCATCATGGTCTCCTCCTTGTTGAACTCCACAGTCTTTGAAGGGCTCGTTGGTGGTCGTCCAAGCATTTCGAAGGCACTGTTTACCTGAGGTGTCGCTGGAGGCACATTGCACTGATTCAGAAAGCCCAGCGCTGTAGTCGCACTTGATGCAGCTCCAGGGACACTTGCAAACAGAGGCGCTGGTTGAGCATTCCCATCAGGCACTGCAGTCATTGTTGGAGGCATGTTCCCACTAGCTGAGCCATGTGGTGACTGACCCCCATTCGGGGAGTATCCAACATTCTGCATTGGGTTATATCCCATTTGAGATCCCATCTGTGTTTGTGAAACATTGGTGAAATTCCCAAACATTCCTAAGGAACCTGGGTTGCTGAAACTTGCCGAAGGAACCTGAGGCACATTGCTGGATCCAACGGCAAAACTCATCATTGGGCTCGTCGCTCCAATCAAAGGTGTAGACACTGGTATCGAACCAGGCATCATCCCAACACATCCAGCGCTATTGCTCTGAGGCACTTGTTGGTGTTCTCCTCCAAGCACGCTGGATGGTGAGCTCACACTACCGGGACGGTAGTTATTCCAAGCAGGCGATGGAGATGGATAAAAAGAGCTGGGTCTGGTCGATGCCATTCTCATAGAGGCGTCGCCAGATCGAGCAGCTTGATTCCAAGGATCGCCTTGAGGATCTTGCATCGGATCCATTGCAGTCCCGGTAGGGAGCCCGGAGTGAACCGGGCTCCGCTACCACTGTAGCACAAAATGGATGAAATGCAGAGTCGATGGATTTGATTAGAACATGGCAAACACCGCACGAAGCGCGGTCGAAGCACAGGCTACCCTGTTTTTACTTGTGCCCAAGACGTCTATCGGAGCAAGGACTGTACATGTCACCTGGCAGCTGCATGGAAGGGACGTGACACAGGAATGTGTTTCTCAGGATGATCTTTATGTGTTGGAAAATCATGTAGCTGTTCAATCTTTTGAATCCATGGCCACCCCTTCAATTCCATCCATTTCAGGGCCTCATTTTGTAGCTTTGATGCGATCGCCAATGAACTATTTAATCCAAACCTGGTTTTTGCTCACAGGATGCATCGTCCAAGGTGTGCCCGAATCCGTGGTGGTTGGAGTTCCCACTGACCAATTGGTCAGCAATGGCTTAAAGCTGTACTCGCGTCGCGTGAGAAAATCCTCCAAACCAACTGAATGTTGTACGCTGGCGCAAAATCATGCGAAAATCGTTTCCAAGAGTTCCTCAAGATGCAACTAAAAACTCCTGTGATGTCTTCTCCCAGTGCAACCTGCCGATCAAGCCGAGTACTGGGGTGCGCGCGGATACTGAACCACAGGGCTTTCACTGTGTCATCGAATGTTATCGACATATCAGCAAACTGCGGTAACAAGTCGTGATCATACCCTTCGGACTTCGGGCACCGCAAAAATGAAAGACTTCAGTGGAGGACCCATTGTGCCAATACATGTAGTTGGCTCGCCGTCTTGTACTTGAAATGCATGTGTTCCAAGTACAACTTGTGTGCTACGGACGGCCAAGGCGAGATTCACCCGTCGCATTTCAGGATATTTGCTTTCCCTTCAACTTGCACTCTCCTGCATCTGTCGTAGGGTGAACGCATCAAGACAAGCCTTTGCAACAGCTTGTTGTTGGACACCTTTGCTGGCGAAAATTTTGCAGCCAGTCAAAACAGAAACTCAGAGTGCGGCTTGGGGCGATGAAGAGAATAAACTAGAATCTTCCCCTGATTGCTCAAACTGAGTTTGTTGGTGCAGGATTGCATCGGATTGCCAATCCCCACTGCCAGGGCTAACAAATGGACGTCTGGAAAGTTCCTTCAGCCTCTCCGTGCCAGGCCCCGCAGCCCATGGTTCGGCAAGTCCCATGGATATTGTTTGAGCTAAGATCTTGAGCCAAATGATTACCCAAAAATAAAATAAGTCCTACATTCCATGCGAAATCTTCTCAAGCAAGACTGCATTGTCAAACAAATCCCTCTACAAATTTTCACTGAATGGCAAACTTGGACGTGGGTGTCACACCAATCCAATTCGCCAGAGACTGAATGGTTGTTCCAATACCACTTCTATGCGGGATTTGAACACGTCCAGCTGCATGTTCCTCCATGATTTTTTGGGCAAGCACAGCAGCATGTTCCTTGCCCATCCGATGGATCATCCAGCTCTGAATATCGCATTCATTCACACTATCATCGACTATCAGGGGTCACATAGAAATTGCATCGCAAGACCCCAGCTCTGAGGATGCTGCAATGGCACCGGCGCCTCCCCGGCAAGAACTGAAACATTCCTCGGCAAAATCTGAATTCAGGCGGCCCTATCACTTAATGCAGTCCTGCACCAAAAATGGTCTCTTGATAAATCGGTATTTGATGCTAATAATTAGCTAATAGTGCCTTGAATGAGAAATGTATAGACATGTCATTCCAAAATCCCAAACACAAATACAGGGCGTTGCTTTTCAAGGCCCCTTCCCTGGATTTTCCATCCAAATCCATGTCACTTTCCTGCAAATGTTGACACCTGCTCAAACAATATTTTTAAAAAGTGGGATACCCAAAAATATGATTGTCATTACACCGTTTCTGGTGAATTTGGGGGTCGACAAAAAAAACGTCCCAAACACCTCCACCGCTGAGCATCCCGGGAATCCCGGCCTTGCAACTAAGCGGTTTTTGGCCCCCTTCCGATGGTGGTCCCGCTCGATGTCAAATTCAACAACCTTCGCGGGTGTGGCCCAGGGATGGAACTTGGAGACCATTGAATCACAGAAATTCACACACTTGACACAAATCATACAAAGAAAAAGGTGGAACGGTGGAACCTCGAAAGGCATAGCAAGATACTTGAAGAAACACCAGCTCCAAAAGGGTCACTTCACATACAAATTCTACAAAAGGCCCACAAACAGGCACCCTTGCACCATGTTTTCATGTCTGGGTTGCCCAGCTGTGCCAATGGCCAATTGGGCGTTCTGGCACGCAGCCTTTGTCCAACACCAGAGATCTGTGCAAGAGATCTGGGTGGTCAGAAATCAGTCAGCTGAAACATGTTGAAAGAAGTCGGAAAGCATTCTGAGGACTGTCCGTCACATAAACACTCACATACGCTGCTTGTAATGGTTTTCGTCAAGTAATCCTCGGACACCCAGGGGTGCAATGTCCCCCTTAAATCAACCGGAACCGGGGGAACATCTTCACCAAAAGCCAAGGCCAAGGCCAAGAGCGAATCTCGGTGAACAAAGAGATCGCCCGCGAAACGATCAGAATTGATAAATCCCCAAGCCTTAGTGGAAAAATGGGTCGTAATATGGCAAATCTCACATCAACAACTACCAGAGTCACTATACCATTTGGGGATGGTTTATAGCACCCATCTAGGGTAAGTCATTTGGGATGGCACAAATTACCACATTACCTGTTTGGATCCCATGGGTCAAGGGGCTGTTACTGATTTTTGCAAAAAAGTCATTGAAACTTGGGCTCAAGTCCACCAAAGAAACCAATCTCTTCGGATTCCAAGCCCTTCGGGCCCTTCGGCTCTAAAAGGTGCAGTCCAAACATTGGATCATTAGACCTACTTTGGAAACGAGTCTTGACTGTTCTTAGACTGTTCTTGCCACACTGCAGTCAATGGGCCCCTGGATTCGCGCTTCTGGAGTGCCAACAAAATGCACTGAACGATGGCTCTTCTGAGGTCCTGACACCTTGAAACGACCGAATATATCCGCGTAATCTGCAGGCGTGCCATGAACGCTGCTTGGCGGATGAGGTTTTTGCCGAGCAAAAAGACTGCTTCTTCTCTAGCTCTAAACGTCACACGATCCAGCCATTGGACCTGTTTAGTCTCAAGCTTGAACTGAACAATCTATGTTCCTCAAAGTTCGCCATCAACCCACGTTTTCCCTCCACATAATTCTTTAGCTGGCTCATAAGAAATTGGGGATACCCCCAAAAAACTAGCAAAATTCATGGGAAGGATTTTGGATAAACCAGTGGAATTGGGGGTTTGCCGTCCTTATTTTCTAGACAAACCCACATGAGCAGTGTTCAAAACCCGCTGTCTTCCCTTGATAGTGCCTGGTTCATAGGGATTCCCAGCTCATGGGTTCTGATAATCCCCAATATAATGGGTGGTATAATGCCCAAACCAACCATGAATCAACCATTATTGATCAGTTAGTTCATTATCCACTTTCATATCCCATATTCATGATGATAAATCATCTAATATCCCTATCCCATAGTTATATCAAATACGAACTTATATGGCTATGGGTTAAGCCATTGGGCACCCAAAAAATTAGACCCACAAGGTGGGACCCAGTAAGTCCACTTAGCAATCAACTATAAATCCCCCATTTTTGTTGCTAAATCACTATTTTTCCGTTTTTTCCTATGCTTTTCGATCATTTTCCCATACTTTTCCCATAATTTTCCTATAGTTTTCCTAGGAAATCTCCACCGTCACCGTCAGGTTCACGTCGTGGCGGCCTGTGCCCGATCCAATCGCCCGGCCGAAGCAGGGCACGGGTGGTGATTTGCTTGGCCACCTCAGGACCGATGAGAAACACCCGGAGCTATTACTCAACAGCTGGGTGTATTAATTATACACATATATGAAATGATATAATATAATATAACATAATACCTGAGAAGGGGTGGAACGAAAGCCAGCGCTTGCTTTTTGACTCGCGCGGGGGCGCGTGAAACTCCACCTCATCCATATGGCATGGCTCAAACATAAAGCGCCCCAACATGAACAATTACTATCGGGTCATAATTTTCCAATCATTAAATGGACCTTTTTAGGGTAAACTCCACGATTTTGTAACTTCTATATCCAAATATGTTTCCTACAATGTATTGCGGCATTGTGAAAAGTTCTATCTCAAGTTCCGTAAATCCGCCTTTGGTTGCTTATTTATCTTAAAACAGCGCAAATTTGCTCCCACCTATTGTAGATAAATAATACCCGCTTTTTTGTGTGAACAGTGGTCATGTGACCTCTCACAGTCTAAATTATTTTCTCCCCAGAATCGTGGTCCATGCTTCTCCGCGAAGTTCCGCAACATTTTGGCCGTACGGTGAGAAATCAAAACATAGCTCTACTCGCAAAATGGGCAGTGCAAACCCAAGACAATATTATAACATACGTAAGAAAGGGTATAAGAACGAATGAAAATCGAGGAAAACAATGCAAAACCCACGGGAAATATAGAACAGTGGCGAACATGCAGTCCAAATCAAAAGTATATATATTTAGGCCATTTACAGACCTGGATACCCCCCCCCCACCCCCCAAGGGTCTGGAAAATATGTATTTTACAGGAAATTTCGCGGAATAGCATCATCCCTGACATCGATAGAGATAATTATTTGGCATCCCGGAAAATCTTCTCAGCTATCACACTCGCCAAACATCCCTTTCAAAAGGCACACATACTATCACGGACGTACAGATGCATCATTCCCGTCATTGCCATTAGAAGATTCAAATTCTTTCTCAATGTTTTAGTACAAGATTCACTTTTAGTTCTGTTTCAGCCTTCTCAGTACGGCCTCTTACAATGATATTACAGCATTTGTCTCCTAACCTAGGTGGCTCCTGGGCGCAATCTTCATTCCAATGCTTTGTGACAATAACCAGAGGCCTGGAGCCTATGCATCACTTGACAGTCGACTCAGTTCTAAACCGGAAAGACTATTCCTTCCGTTTACCAGTAGATCGTTTTTGTAGTTCTTATCACAAAACTACCAGAATCAGGGAGGCACCAAAAAACGTCAAACAGCTTTAAGCATTATAAATACTCGAATCTGCAGATTGTATTTATTTTTCTTACTCTGTGAACGAAATATAACGAAATCACACTTTTCTAATTTCACACAGATTACCATGAAACCAATTTTCCCATACAACTCTTAAAATCTTACAACTCATACATCTTTTTTCTTATACCATCTGCATCTTGCTCCAAGGTTTCATGGCAATGTCTTGTACGCGAGTCAGCCACTATTTCCTATCACCAAACTACATTGCTCATCATCTAACATTATCTACAGAAACCAAATCGGATTTCCTGCTCAATGTTTCCGCTCGTTAACATTGTCTTGGTTTTCACTATATTTTTAAAGCATTTTTAGTTATAACATGTTCCTAGGTTTTCACTGTTTTTTTCTAACATGTTACATGCCTCCTAGCATGTTCACGCGTGTCCTCCATTTTGTACTGTTTTCTACATCGTTTCCGCTAGTTGTTACAAGCATTTCCTAGCTTATATACCGTTTTCCTAATATTGTCACAATTTTTCTTCCAGTTTCCACTGCTTTTTCTACCGTTTCCTGTGGTTACTTTCTTCTCTTTTGTAGGTTTTCACTGTGTTTTGTCCAGCTTTTTTTATTACATGCTTCCTACCATTTTCACCGCTTTCCTCTATGGTTTTTTGTACCATTTCCTCTCGTTTCCTGCATTTCATGCATTTTCAATATATTTTTCCAAGAATTTTACCCGTCTCCTTCAGTTTCCGATCGTTTTTGCACCATTTCCTCTGGTTGTTATCGCATTTTCCTGTACTTTCACTGTATTTTTCCAGCATGTTTACTGCATCGTCGTTTGTTCCTAGCAGTCCCTCCGGTTTCCTCCATGTTCCAACAGATTTTGCACCCTTTATTCTGGTTGTTATCACATTTTCCTGCCAGGTTGTTAGCACATTTTCCCTCACTGTATCTTTCCAGCATTTTCCAGTGGATTTTGCACGATTTCCTCTGATTGTTATCATGTTTTCCTGCAGTTTCTATATCCTTTTCGTGGGTTTTCAGTTTATTCATGCATTTTTAATCTATTTTTCGAAGATTTTTACCCGTCTCCTTTTTGTACCATTTCCTCTGGTTTGCTGCATTTTCAATGTATTTCTCCAAGAGTTTTATCCGTCTCCTTGATTTTTCCGATCGTTTTTGCACCATTTCCTCTGGTTGTTATCGCATTTTCCTGCACTTTCACTGTCTTTTTCCAACATGTTTACTGCATCGTCATAATTTGTTCCTAGCACTCACTCCGGTTTCCTCCATGTTCCAACAGATTTTGCATAGTTTGTTCCTAGCATTTTCCTCTGATCGTTATCATGTTTTCCTCAAGTTTCATTGTATTTTCCAATACATCCTCTTCGTGGGTTTTCAATATGTTTTGTCCAGCATTTTTTTACTACATGTTTCCTATCATTTTCACCTCTTTCCTCCATAGGTGTTTGTACCACTTCCTCTGGTTTCCTGCATTTTCATACCTTTTCAATATTAATATTAATCCAAGAGTTTTACCTGACTCCTTCATTTTCCGATCCTTTTTGCACCCTTTCCTCTCGTTGTTATCACATTTTCCTGCTTTCACTGTATTTTTCCAGCATGTTTACTGCATCGTCATGGTTTGCGCCTAGCATTCGCTCCGGTTTCCTCCATTTTCCAAGGGAGTTTCCATGGTTTGTTCCTAGCATTCGCTCCGTTTTCGTCCGTTTTCCAGGGGATTTTGTACGATTTCCTCTGATCGTTATCATGTTTTCCTGCAGTTTCATTGTATTTTCCAATACATCCTCATGGTCTCTCCGGCCACCAAAAAGGCGGACCTAGGGGGAATCGATACCCCACCGTCAGCAAATTACCTAGTGGTACATAATCCAGCAAAATGCTCCGTTTTCTGGCGCTCAACACAGGGGCACGGCGAGATTTCGTTCCCTTTCGGCAACCACCCCCCCCACACCCCCTATTCTCACTTCGTTCGCAAACAGCAACTAGCCAGCTAGCTGGCTTTGGTAATAATATGTGTTTTATTTGATATTATTTGATTGACACATATGATATACATATTATATATATATATTATTACATTATGTGGTAACTCATGGGGAAATAAAGTGGGAGATATGCATATATAGGTACATGGATCCTTCTTAAAACAGCAGGGCTACACCCCATTCAGCCAAGTCAATGAACTGTACAATGACCCCCGCATTGATGCTGTCCAAGATTCCCTTCACCCCAGATTAATAGACCCCTTGGCTGTTTTAGTGTGGGTACTGTTTTAGCAAATGATTCTAAATGATCACGTTTTAGGAGGTACAAAGCATATAACGCCCCAAAATTAATCAACCACTTGCTTTTCGTATTGTAAGTCCCATTTCTCTGCCAACCACGGGGAGTCGTCAAGTACTGTTTGATCTGCATCTTAGAAACTGCTCGTCCGCGATCATCTAGGGCGACGTCGAACTCCACTACTTGGCCCTGGCGTGGGAATAACAAGAGCGTCTTCGTGGCACGTCATGGTACAGGCAGATTGTTCTACATTTCCAGCGTGTGAATTTGGCCCTTTTATGCCCTCCCCATCATCACTGGGGTTAGCCGTTTGCTGAATACACCATTATATCCGAGAACATGGAACATCCCACAGATTTTTCGTCATGGACTATCCCCTCAGAATCATGATGATCATTTCCATTATGTATTATCATGATGATCATTGTTAGTGTATATATATATACATAATGTGGTTGAAACAATGTCATAAACCACCCATGACTGGGAATGGTTTATACCACCAATTTATGGTGATTTTGGGGATGGTTTATTTATTATTGTTTTAAGTTTTAACCACATTATTAACTATAATTATCTCACTACATCCTATTGTAGCCCATTGATAGCATGGATTTGATTGTCTCCCACCCTTAGGGCTGATGAGTGGACCATTCTCCAAGGAATGAATGGACCATCAGTAATCCGCAACTATTCTTAGATCTATGGATAGTATGAACCCCACATCATTGTTACTATCCCCAAGTCATCCCATTATATTCCGTGGTTATCCCCTTTCAATCCTGAAAAACATCCCGATTTTATGGGATTCGCTTAAGACCGGTCCCAGAAAACACCTTAAACATTCGCTGTATGGGGAATCCCCAAGTCACCATAGGTTTCCAAGACTAAAATGGTCTAAGTTTGGATGATTTGGGAGTACCAACATGATCCCCACGGTGGATTTACCAATGGGAACATCGTCCAACAGGTCCAACAGGTCCGCGCCGTCCGAAGGATTGGCTGCCCATCAGGGCCAGTCTCGGTTCCAGGCCTCACAGAATTTCCGACTGCCAATGGGCCATAAACCTCCCATTTGGGGATGGTCCCATCTATGGTCATATTGAGGAAAGTTTATGGCATTGGGTGAATCCCACATCAGAATATGGATGAATATGGAATTTTCGAAACTCATTGGGTCTTTATCACAACTTGACTGTGCTTCTCAATGGATCTCTGATCTGCTTCAGCAGTGGCCCAGGATTCAACATTTCATGGTAAGAACCTCTTGGTTTCATGCGTTTCCGGTAAGGCGTAAAACCATGCCAAAACTCGCACTCGGGGACGCTTTGCACGACCCACTTCTCATAGAATTGGTGATCTAATTTGTTACCCTCTAGCAATCAAACATGGCAAGGGAAAATCCCCCGTGAATAGATGATTTTCCCTTGAAAAAAAAATATTTTTGATGACACCAAATGGTACAAGGTTTACCACATCGCATTCTTTCGCATTTTTTCGCATTCTTTCCCCTTCCAACAACCCAATGTCCACTGTGGGGGTCAAAACCTAGTGTTGCCATATCATTGGGGGAATCAACATCCCTAAATCGGGGCCCAAGGGGCCCAAGGGGCCCAACGGTCCGCTAAGCACATGACTCCATCAGCAAGTTGTCGCGGTGGACAAAGAGATCACCATCAAAGGCGGCAGCGTTCAGGAAGCCCCAGCCTCAATGAACTCGGCTCGGTGATCCCCTTTTCGACACACCTTCTCTGCCCCATGTTTTCTGGAAACCAATGGCACCGTGGAAAATACCGTAGCGAAAAACCATACATCGTGATCTTTGTGAGTTGCCCCACCATGCCCCAATCTTGAGGCGACCAACGCTCTACAAAACGCCTTACATAGCCTCTATGTCTTTGCCCCAAGACATCGTAAGGCCTTAGGAACGCAGCAACTGAGTCAGCTCCTCTATCTGGCTATGAGTCAAACCCTGGTACTCTAGGTTAATGGATGTTATTCAATATTCCTCATCAGCTGTCACAGCCAAGTCCGCTGCTTCCGTCCGAGAACGGGCTTCACAGCCACAGCCACTGGCTTGCCGACGTCATCCGCCTGAACATCAAACCTGAGAGTTGGCGTGATTCCAGCGTTGGATAAGAATGCTTGTTTCACAACGGGTGAAGGACTGGCTTGTTGCACTTGTTAGCTCTGCCAGTTTCCGAACCTGCAAAAATATGAAGCACTTCACAATTGAAGCCCGGCAGCTAAGGTGCGGAAAATCCATCTTAATCCCTGGTTCACACCTCATTTCAGCTTGAATTTCTGAGTGAAGTACTCCACCCCTTCATTTTCATGTAGAGGATGAGCCTAGGCAAGGGCAACGGCCCCAGCTGTGAGACGCTGCAAAAATAATACTTCCAGGCGGTCTAGGCGCTTGGGGATGGAGTCAAGAATATTCGCAACAAACCTAGGATACTTATATGGAATTATATGGAAATGATGGAAATATATGGAATTGTATGGAAATGATGGAATTATTGTTGTTGTCCTGCTTCCGCTGAGTTCCAGACTTGAAATTCCGGCATAATCCGATCTATCCTGAACGTCAGCTCGCCCTCGAACATGTGACCTGGAACTGCAGTGAACTTGAGGCCGGGGGTGGATGACGAAAGCTAGCGGGGTAGGAGAAAGAAGGAAGGGAAGACGTAGCTTCAGTGTCAGCAGGAAAATGTCGGTGACGTTTCCGCGTCAAACCCCAAGTGAGGATGCTGACCCTCTACCAGCCGGAAATCTCCTCTCGGGAAGGCTCGGGGGGGACCAGGGGGGGATCGAACCTGATGCCGATGATGATGATGATGATGATGATGATGAGGATGGTGATGGTGATGGTGATGATGATGATGATGATTATTATTATTATTATGATAACAAAGTTGATGACGATGACAATGACGCTGACGCCGACAACGACGATGACGGCTGAAAATGACAATGACGGTGACGATGACAATGACGATGACGATGACAATGGCGAAGACAATCACACTGACAATGACGATGACGATGATGATGATGATGATGATGGTGATGGTAATGATGATGACGATGATGATGATGATGACGACGATGATGATGATGGTGATGATGATGATGATGATGATGATGATGATGATGATGGTGGTGATGGTGGTGATGATGATGATGATGATGATGTTGATGATGACGATGGTGATGGTGATGGTGATGATGATGATGATGATGATGATGATGATGATGATGATGATGATGATCACGATGATCACGATGATCACGATGATGATCACGATGATGATCACGATGATGATCACGATGATGATTACGATGATGATCACGATGACGAGAACGATGCCAATGACCATGACGATGACGAAACCGATGACGATGACGATGACGATGACGATGATGACGATGATGCTGATGATGGTGATGGTGGTGGGGTTGGGGGGGGGCCTTTCGCGTGAAAAATCACGTGATGTCCTTGAGCAGCCCCCGGAATACTTGCTAAAGCAAGAAGACTCCAGCTAGCTGACGCTAGCTTTCGTGAAAAAAGAAATCGCTTTATGCAAACATGCAAAGCGAAGAAATCCCTGGGAGGCCAGTGCCGTATGATGAGAAGAGGTCACAAACTGTTTCACGAATAGGATTTACCAGTTCATGCATTGTGACAATCCCCAATATATTGGATAGTATCACAGTATCACCCCAAACTCATCAGCAATAAACAGGAGTGTCGAACGCAGTCACTGGGCAAACATGGCAAGCTCCACTTTTCACCATGCCATAGCCACTGACCGGCAGATATTTGGTCACGACGCCCGAGAGCCTGGCTCAGAAAACAACCCTGTGGTGCCATCATGGTAAATCCGTGAACGAAATGGTGAAAAAATGCGATAAAATCACCGGTATTTTTTTAGAGATTTTCCGTATAGAAACAAATTAAAACCATGGGATGATTGGTTCAAGGCACCCGGGTGCCCCGGCGCGTCTTGCTCTTGCCAGCATCTACTCGGTGTTTGTGCGACCCTTGCCCTATCTTGCCCTACACATACATCATTGCAGTGTATCCATATATTGGCATCAAAGGAGAAATCATGATTTAAAAAAAAATGCAAGCGTACAAATAATGATGAAATTGTGACAAAATGTGGAAAACAACAAGTGATAAAACGTTTAAAAAAACAATGATATAACGGTGATAAAACGGTACGAAACGTACGGCCTTGCCTCTCTTGCTTCAAGTCCAGCGCGGACTTCACGGGCAACCTGCCATAGTCCACCCTTGAATCAAAAACTCTGGGGGGAATAAGAGATTCTTCTGGAATAAAAAAATCCATATGGATTGGGTTTATTATTCCAGGAATTCTTCTCTTTGTCAGGAGTTTCTTCTTCTCGAGATTCTGAAGGGTTTCTTCCAGGGAATCCCCCAATCCCCAATGTAACAACCATGCCAGCAGCCACTGAAGGTGAGCTAGTGTGCCAAAGCCTTCTTCTGGTGGCCTGATTTTATGCCATCAAGAACTACCATGACTGGTGATAAGTTATACCGTTATACCACCCATAAATAGTTGTGATGATTTGGGGATGGTGCATTATTGGCTTTACCAAATTATCTGAAGAAAATCACATAATTCTGAGAGCAGGATTCCCCTTTCGGATTCCCCTTTCGGAGAAAACAGTTTTTGGGCACCCCACTCTCCATCTTCTGGACCTGCTCGAGTGCAGATCACAGGAATCTCTGTTTTCGAAACATGGATGACGTGATGACGTGATGGCCTTGGCATCCCAATCTGCATCGTTCTGAGGCTACTGAATTCACTGAATCACCAAAATCCAAACACTTTGTATCAGCATTCCTTTTCCCAACATTGCACTAGTTTGAGACTCCCTTACGACTGTATATGGAAATGACAATAGACAAAGACATGAGTTTCTATGTTTGGTTTACCGCACAGCTCCCAGTTTTCCAACCTTTCCGGTAGCCACCTCGGCGTGGCGTTACCATATCGTCACTGAATTCGAAAAGACTGTAGACATAGAAATGGAGGGCCCGTGGCCGAACCTTTAGAGAAAATTGCCTCCGAAATGTGCAGCCATCCCTTTCGGCTTCACACCATCTGCAATTGCGCCTGGCCTCAGTTGTAGTTGAAATGGCTATCAGAGCACGAACGGACAAAGGCTGATTGGTGATTCCGCTGTCAATCCCTTGATGCTCAGCACAGGTTCAAACGAACAAGTTGAAGCACATTAATGTGGCAAATCCAATAGTAAACGTCCAATGTTGGAGGATTTATACCACCCATTCTTGGAGATATTCGGCGGGGTGTTTATTCTTGGTTTTACCGTTTTGACCCGTCATAACCTGAAACCTTATCCAACAATTGCCACCCTCCAACGAAAAAAATGTGGGAAGGGCACTAAGGTCGATCAAACCCTATAAGGTCCCGACGGCACTGGTCCTATCCCGTCTACCTCACACATAGCTGTTCGATCCAAATGGCACACGAATGGAAACCAAATCGATAATGGTGGCACGATTGGCTGAAATTCATTGCAACCAGAATTTTGAGATGTTTTGAGTATGTTCTGAGAACATTGGATGTTGTTTTTTATGTTTTCCAAATCAAATTGCACCACAATATCCACCAATGTGAAGGAAACCAGCAAATCCAGCAATTGAACACAAAAGAAATCATGGGCGCTCAATGAAATACAGAACATCAAAACACCAATTCGTGGTTGATGACGTGGTGACCTCGGACATGATGATGTTTTTTTCGGATGTGTTGCAAATAAAAATTCATTGAGTCAAATCTGGACATATCCAATAATTTACAAACAGAAACGGTCAAAAAAAAACAAAAAGGAAAGAGTCAAGGTCCAAAAATTAGACCGCGTGGTTTGTGACATGCACCGTTTGTTGTTTAAAATATGTTGTTTGATGTATGTGCACTGTTTCTTGATTTTCCACCATGGGTTTCATGTTTTTTATACGATCAAAAATTGAGATGTGTGAAACATTCACATTTTACATACCCAAAATATCATCATTCATGGTCCAAACTGTTCAAACCATGGAAATTCCACAGATTCAACGAGGCCAACCACGCAGTTTCGTGGAGTTTTTCAACGTTCGCCATTGATTAAAAATTCAAAGGCACCCACCATTCCCGAAAGTTCCTGCGAAGTGTTTTTTCTAAACGGTTGCCAAATTCAATTTGTCATTTCATCTACATATCATGTCCTACATTTTTTACATCACCTACATCATCTAACCATCTACATCAATTTCATCCGCATTTCACCCATCATCTACATCATTAACAGAACCCCATTTACATAACATACATAATCCTACAATGTCTACATCACTTACATCACCTACATCATCTACATCATCCACAGGTGATCAACTTTTGCAGACGTCCTACAAAATTCCGTCATTTTGTCAAAAACAAATGCGCCACCCAAGCGCTCCCTTTTGGCTGAGTTCCTTCGAGCCACTGCACGGGCATCCGTGGAAACTTCTGATTTGTGCGTGTCATCTTGACATGAAGGCAACCGTCTTTTAGTTGTAGCATGCATTTGAGTGCTACAACCAAAATGTGACACCCCACCTTGGCGAAGTTTCCTTACGAATCCTCGCCACATGGTTGGTTGTGCTTCTAAATTCACCAGTTGTTGGGCTCACTACAAAAGCCACCTGTGCTACTTGCAAACATTCTCAAATTGAGGTCCCTGGGCCTTGTTGGAAAAAAACTTGAGGCCCAGGGGTAAAGGACGAAACCAAGTTTGGCAGGGAACTTGGCATGAAAACACAAAGGGCACAACGCAGCTGCGCGGCCTTTTCGTCAACGTGGACGAGCGGGTCTGAAGCTAGGACATGTTGGTAAGGTGAACATCCAGACCTGAGTATTGAGGTGATGTATGTTGGAAGGGACGAGGATGAAAACGTATGATCATTATTATTATTTATTTTACTTGAGAGTAAAGGCACCAAAACATGACATGTATATGACACCAAAAGTTCAAAGCAGCGGCTCACACTTTTGACCGTGGGGGTTGCGTCTCGGTTCAAGCCTCGCATCTGGACGGCAGGGTAGGCATATGTAAAGTCGTATGAATCAATCGAGGTCGATCTCTGGCAAAGGGCCCACAGTGTCCAGGGAATGTTGCAGCTGGAACTGCAAAATACACAGAAACTGGGACTCAAGTCGATTGAGTTCAAGGTCAATTTGCTGTAGGGCTCTGGAAGCAATCAATAATTGCGCAGGCAAAGGTGTCATCAAAAACAACGTGTTTTGCTGCAACTGGTGCAAAAGAGTCTGACACTGCCTGATATTGGATCGACACTCGAAGAGCTGCCGTAACGGTTGCAATATGGTTTGGAAAGACTGCAAGGAGTTCGACATGATGAGGCAGCGACAGGTCGAAAAGGAAAAATCAAATGACTGAAAATTGGCACAAAATGAGAAATCTCAAAAACGTGTTGGTCCTTCGAAACATGATTTTTTTTCCAAATCCGGCCGTTTATGCTCTGAGGCACGGTTCTTTTGAACCCGAGTCTTACTCACGGACCAGCGGCGATTCGAACCACCACCGGCAGTCTGTCAGCGACACAAGAGTGACGCCATACCAACTGAGCCATGAGGCCAACTGGTCCTTTGAAGCATGAGAAGAGACGCATGTCTCTAATGTCGCATGAGTGTGGAGTGGACACATGTCAACTTGTGAGAATTAGGTTCCACGTGGAGGTAGTGAGACACATGTCTCAAAGGTAATGGAGCTGCAGCTGAAGGCTGTGTCACTTGACAATAAGGGATTGAAATCGTAAAAGGGGTGGGACGAAAAATCGACATGACATGTGGCTCACTTGAGCTGCAACGTCACCCATCAACACTGAATCACGATGTGTTCCCAATGCAACATTGACAAAAACACTTGCCTCAACTCAACTCTTTGTGAAATAATACTTCATCAAACATGTTTGAGTTGCGTCTCATTTCACTTGAGAGTATAGGCACCAAAACATGACATGTATATGGCTCACACTTTTGACCGTGGGGGTTGCGTCTCGATTCAAGTCTCGAGTCTTGCCCTGGATTGAGGCTTGGGAGAATCACCTCATCCTTGCACAGGTTCCAATTTTGCATCAAGTCCACTCTGGATCTGGGAACACCTTGATACGATTGCATCTCTTGCCTAGAAAGCGCATCAGCGGGGTTGGAGAAACTTGGAACTCCCTCGATCCAGCACATCACATCGCTCTCTTCTTCGAAGGAGCATATCCCTCGGATGATCAAATCAAGGTTGTCGTTCTGTGACTTACATTTCACCAAACAGGCTTGAACACTCTGGTTATCAGTGAAAACCACCAGCTTGAGTCTGGAGACTTCTAATCTCGAAACGTTCTCAGGGCCGTCAAAATGGCCAGGCCTTCCAATTCCAGAATGGCAATCTTCTGGTCATGGCTCGTGATGGCTGCTAAGACCTCCGGACGCACTGGTTCGCCGAAACAACCCAGGCAGGCGCCATTAAGATCCAAAAGGAGACCACCCACGCCTGAATAGCCACAGGTTCAAATGAAGCGTCCACATACATGCGGAACCAATCGAAGTGTCGAGCATCGACTGTTCTGGGCGAATTTTTCTCCAAAAGGCCCATCATCAGTCTGAGGGCTGCTTCCAACTCTAGATTGATGATTTCAGGCCCTGCGAGACGTGGGCGTTCAGTTCTTTCTCTCAAACAGTTCTCAAATCTCCTTCCAAAAAGTTGATTGGGTGCGAACTGCAATCGTCCCCGCTTCTCACCATCCACTCTGGCGAGCATGCCGGTGTCCAAGGCGGCCTGCATGATGCTCAATAGTTCCTCCACCCGGGCTTGGGTGTCGCACACATGGTATGGAAGGACCCTTGAGGCGTTTTGTGCAGGACTACAGAGGAGGCCCGCACATGCGAAGCCTGATTTCAATTGACTTCCGGCCACAGAAATGGAACCTGAAAGCGCACATGTGGTATCAGCTGGCTCCAATGTGGCGATTGCGATGCAGCACCACCCAGGCAACATTCATCAATCCTTTGTTACTCCGCGCTGCTCCGCTACTCCGTGCTATGTTTTCATTCAATCACCCAATGTAATTGACACGATATCGAAACAATGACGGAGTAAGAAAGCCTTCAATACTTCACCTTCCCACATCTTTCCCCAAGCAGATTCTTACTCCATCCCGTTTTAAATTTATACTATTAATTGATAACGGGATTGACTGACAAGATCATGATTCAAGTTCTTTCTGGGCTGAAAACTTCGGTAGGAGTCTAGAGGGGCAAGGGGGGCCAACAAGAGGCAGTAAAGTATTCAATACAATCATTCAAATGGAAGCCGGCCACCTGCGCAAAAACCCACAAACTCCGCAACAGGAAGAAACATTTCAAGCAATCACCTAAGGCTGCAAAAGGCTGATGGACCTTCTTTTACAACAAACAATCAAGCCACCAGACAAAACGAAATAATAAGAAGCTAACTTCAACTGGGTTCAAGCAGCAACCGATATGCACCCCGCTTGCCCCAACAAGAAACAAAATCATCTACAAAACAGTTTGCTCCGACGGACCCAATTCTGGGTCCGGAAAACCTTCTCAAAACCGGCTTCGCTCAAAAGGGCCTCCCTAGTTGCCCTTCCGGTCGCCATAAGCCACAAAGTTTCATTGAAACCAAAACATTGCGCTTCTGCAACCCTGATACAAAAAACTTCAAAAAATGAACCTAAACACGGTTGTATTACTAGTAGTAGTTGTAGTAGTGGTAGTAATAGTAATAGTAATAGTAATAGTAATAGTAATAGTAATAGTAGTAGTAGTAGTAGTAGCAGTAGTAGTAGCAGTAGTAGTAGCAGTAGTAGCAGTAGTAGCAGTAGTAGTAGTAGTCCATTGCTGCTGTAGTCATGAAAGCAACTTGTGCATATATGCATCCCTCGCAGGTCGTCATGAATTGCTTTAAAGAACCGCAGCATGCTGTCCATGCCATACAAGCCTTACTGGATAGCAATACTCCCGTGGCTGCACTACTAGTTGACCTATCAAAGGCCTTTGAGCGGGTTAATCCCTATTGGATCTTACATATCCTGCGAATGCGTAATGCGCCGACATGGGTCTGTAATTATGCCAAATACATCTTATTTGGAAGGCTCATCCGCCATAAAGTTCAAGGCAGACTTCTGCCGCCTAGGGCGGTGCATGTGGGAGTTGACATGGGAAGGTCTTTCTCAGTGTTCCTATTCTGCTTGGCAATGGACCCGGTATATCACTATATGAATCGTATCCCCCGGGTCCTTAGTGTTCAGGGATACATTGATGACAACACGATTGCAGGACCAGGACATGACATTACCTGGGTTAGTAGAGTCCACAAATGCTATCAATGTTGCTGGTCGGCAGGTTTTCAAATTGACCAGCATGCCTGTTGGCAAGCTATCAGCACTG